AACAAAATAAATCTCTTATCTATCGAACAGACCTATTGTATAACAAATTTCATGCATACCGACTTCTGTACTTTCTTGTTATATATAAATTGAATAAAATATATTAAATAGTAAAACCGACCAACCTTTTACCTGCAATGTTCTGAGAAACATTCTACATCACTTTAATGTTATCATCCTCAGACATCAAGTCACATTAAATTCTTTATTCATTTTATTTTTGCGGGGTCAGGGGACCGCGTCCGGAATTCCAACAATGTCTTTGATCTAAACCAAACAAGAAAAAAACATGGACGAAAATGCACTTCAACTGTCTTCATAAAAGGGGAAAAATATAATTTATTCACGAGATAATTTTCTCCTCCCTTTTATGGATAGCAGTTTGAAGTGGGGTGGGCAAGGGCGGATGAATGTTTGCCTTGAGCCTGGCTTAGTCTTTCGTATACCCTCTCGGGAAGACTTTGTCTTGTCTGGTCTCATTTCTTTCACTTAATATGTATCGTAAGTTTATTAGAACCTCTGCTCGACCGACCTTATAACTTAGGTACTGCCTATTTTATTGTTTTATTTGTAACTGAGTACACTTACTACAGTATAAGGATCCTTAATATCTAATTTATTACAGAAGATTATCCTGTTAAGTTTCGAGTAGTTGCTTACGGTAGTAATTTCATTAATAGTACTCGAAACGAGAAGTAACCTTATCGAATTCTGTAGATAATAATCACAAATAGGTGTATAAGTAATTAAGGAATTTCATTAGATTCAAATATATTATTTAAGAGGCATATAATCTATCCCGGCAACTAAAGTTATTAAGTTATTATATAAAGTATCTTTATGATTAAAGGTATATATTACTAATGTAAATGATATTAAAATACTTTAACGCCTGTTATTTCAAATGGGGTAATCAGAGGCGTTATCAAAGTGGTGAAAAATCAAAGAACAATTTTAGTTTTTTTGTAATAGAAATGGCAAAGAATATGTCGGTCTATCTATGAACAGCGCAGACATCACGTTATCATGTTACGCTCTTGATGATAAAGATTCCTTTAACCTGTAATTTCACTGACTTATCTCACTCTACAACCGAAACACATCTTACAAAGGAAGGTGCTTTACGGTTCAAATACAAAAAACTAAGGTACTTACGCAGATGACTTCGGAACAACATACAACAGTGAAAACTATTCTTTACTAAAAAAAATACATAAGTATCTTATTACATTTACATGATGCACAACATAGACTAACAAATTCAATAATATAAAATCATCCTTTACAACTTGGATTTATATATTGTGTTCTTTGAATCGCATTGAATGGGAGCACCCGGTCGTGAAATCACGAAAAGTTTGAAACACTCTTCATTAGGGAATTTTCCCTAAGAAAACCGGCTGAATGGTGTAATAAATGAAAATACATCGCGCCATTTTCAATTTATAAAGTTGATCATTAAAATAATTAATACCTACTACCCACACTTAAAAGTTTCGTAGTTAGATGTGTACCCATCTACTTAATTAAATCTCGCTAGAAAATAAGGACTATGAAAGGAGTTGCTAAGGTATTGCCCAGACAAGGTATCTTATAAGTAATTGGATTTTTTAATTAATAATTCAATAATTTCAATTGCGCATAAATATGCGCCTTTGTTTATGAATGATAATTAGAAAATTAAAATTTAAGATTAGATTTTTTTTATAGAAGTATCCACTTACAGGTGGGTCACCTGATGGTAAGTGGTGACCGTCGCATGTATACCTAAACAGTACTACTTATTGTGATTCAAGACTGTATTTCCAAATTGTTAGCAACTATATTACATAATCTCCCATTGATTTAAAATCAATACAATTTATAAGAAATATTCTCACATTGTCTTATTCCTATATATAACTAACTAATTTAAAATAATTACAACTCATATTACTTAAGTATTTTATTCATAAAAACAAAAGCACACGTGAAGTGCCTACTCAAATATTTTTCCAAACTTAAATAAGTAGATACAATAAAAACAAGTAATTAATTAATATTTTGTAATATGTCTAAGATATCATAACATAATGTATAAGGTGTATATAAAGAAATATTACTATTTTTATTTTATAAATGGAAAACAAAGCAGTACTTCAATATCTAAACCAAAAGTTGCACGGTTTCGCGTACAATAAACAGTGCCCAATTAATTGCACATTCGTTTTTTTGTAAAGATAACGTAATATATACATTAGATTATATATATTAGACGTCAAGTATGCATGCAGCTTGTAATAGTGCAAAAGGCTGTTTGTTGTTGTTGATATAGTTCATATGTACTCTACATATGAACTATATCAACAACAATGCAACGAAATACGCATGCATTAGCTGCCCTGACACGTTCTTTTACAGCCGATCAAGAGTGTGAACAAATTTGCGCGGGAAAGCCAGCGCGCGCAATATCGAGCGCTTCCATTTATGTTCACTTTTTCGCGCGTGATTGTTTGAAGTCACTTCACTTTCTTTTACTGTTTTTTTTTTCACAGATATTATTTTCCATAGACACTTATAACGGGTATTATGTTTTCCATAATTTGTATAATTGTAAACAAAGCTTTGAAATTACTTCAACATAAAATTACACGATATAATCCAACAATTATGCACTTAACTCGTTAAAATTACTACATTCTTCGTTTCTACACATCACAACATGAATCGAAAATATTTTTTATTTAACTTATGTTATTAAAGATTCTCTATAAAGTCGATGTCCAATTATTTATATATATGTAGGTATATATGTACATATTCACAGTAATACTTTTGTGGAAATGGCGAAACAAGATTAATTGGTTTCTTTAATTATCAAATTTTCTAACCATAAAGCATTTACAATACAATACGCATGCAGTTCTGTAGACATCAATAATATACGTTCCTCTCGAAATAGTAACAGCGGCCTACACATTTATACAAATATTTATTACCCACGACTGCGTCCGTGTAGAATTTAACTTTTTTTTTAATATGAATAAAATTTCTGAAATAAAAGAAGCTTAAGTTAGATAATCCTTATAACATTAGCTATCTGCAAGTGAAAGTCCGTAATAATCGGTCTAGCGGTTTCAGAATTGTATAGATAAAAAAATGCTGCACACGCTAATAGTATAACCTGGCATGGCATCAGTGAAGAAAAGTAAAGCATGAAGTCAGGTAGTTGGTCCTTCCTGACGAATTCAACAGAAATTAACCACGATCCTTTCCAAGGGGAATCGCGTAGAATAACAAACCCGTCTCTCTAATAAGATTAATTAAAAACTGCATAATTTGTTTTATGAGACTGGAATGGGGCATTAACAAAATACCTGCTTATAGAGACTTGCAGAGTAGACACTCTGTCTAATCTCAATATCGATTCAATTCAATTCATTTTTGTACTGTTATTTCGAAACTTAATCAGGTATAAAACGAATAAATAAATAACAATATCAGTTAGATAATTCATTCTTTGAATACAAGTATAGAATTAAGACTTTGCTAATTAAAGAGTACATATAAAAAGATGAGAATCCGCACTATCTAATAACATTACAATTCTATTGCATTGGGGAAAGAGTATTGTTAGTAATGTGGACTGATTACCCCATTGCTAGCATATACTGCCAATGTACTATGTCAAGTTCACCTCCATGATTTTCCCCCTTAAAACCACCATGAATTCCTGGTAAATTTGACATGATGGGCTTACTGACCTGACCTCAAAAAATCTACAAAAAAATGCGATACCTGGGTAACCATTAATAAAAAGATCACCATCAGACACGAGTAGTGACTTGGAACTCGACTCAAAACCCCACCACATAGGTAAGCGTATTGTAGAAGTGCAAGTGGGGCTGAATAGTGCGAATTTGCCTTAAACACCGCTTTCCTGAGAAACCAATCATATACCAATGCATGTATATATTGTAAATGCTGAAGGTTAATTATTATCTATCACAATTAATAATTGACAACATGATACAAAGTTAATGCAATAAACATTTTTCTGAATATTTGGCACAATTCAGTATATATGTATATATATTATAATCTTATTATATACGTGATATTCTAAATAGCAATTTCAATTATTTGGAATTCTCAAATAGTATATCTCTAATAAGTTTTAAATACAGACACATTTATATAGATCTTTTGACTGAAACCATCCAACCAGGTATACCATTCTACTGTACCACCCAATGGCTAGAATTATACTATTATTGGCTATTTTGAAAACTATGTTGTCTATTCCGTGCATAAGAACAAAGTTTTGTAACTCCCGCCCGTATCATTCCGGTCTAAAGGGATATATGCAAACGGAACTCTGTCGTTTTGTTACCAAAAACTATATGTATATGCTTTTTCGAAAAGCACTTGTATCTATGGTTACATTTGGCTGTAAATATAGTGTATGTAACATCTATTTAAATATGCCTGTGGCTCTATTTCTATTTGACTATTCTATTAAAATATGTATAGTTATAGTCTAATAAAATTTAGTTAGTTAATAAAACTTAGTTGCGAAAACTTAAAAAGATATTTCTAGAACATAAGCTACGCAGAAACATCTAAATATAGTTAACATTTAGCTACAAACCTGTCGAATATATTTAATTTGCCTTCTGTTGTAATAATTTGACGTATTAATACTTTATTCTTATTTATTACATAATTGCTACATAGGCCAATCTAGATAGGCCACCTCTAAAATTCGTAATTCTAATATTATTTGGACCATATTTTTATCATACATATATTCCACTGTGCGTGCACTCCAATAAAAAACAACCAAGTCAATCAACAATATAATGTCCTGTTGTGACCGTAACGAAACAAAATATCAGTATCCTTAGGAAGTAACTAAAACGAACAATACTTATTTTAGGATATTTTTTTTATTTTGAAATACCATGTACCTTATTTCCCAGGTACAGACGTCAAAATAAAATTATAACCGAGGACAACTCACACACTACCATCTGGTCCAAAACTACACAGAGCTTGCGTTATGGGTAACAGACACCTAATAGAAATACATATAATTACATTGTTTTGTAAATACATACATAATGTACATAAAAACACCCAGACCAATGCAAACAATCATACTCATGTATACAAATTTGCATCGTGCGAGGAATCGAATCCCGCGACCATATGAAGTAAGTCGTTGTGCTAAACCGCTAGACCACCGAGGTCGTCAATAATATGCCGCCAATCTAAAAAGGCGAAACTACCAAATACGCCAATCAATTCCATCAAAACAATAGTCATACTCAGGCAACTCAACGACTATCCAGGCGTATGTAACCAGCCTAATAAAGACAAAATATCAGCGAGAGACAACAACCTTGGTAGACAATGCACGTACGCAGTGAATACTTTTTTTTATTGAGGGTTTTAGGCTATTGTCAGTTGCGAAGACCTGTAGCACAGCGACCTGCATTGATCTATTGCGCTTGCCCTTTTTCAAAGTTCGCTACCTAGACCCATCAGGAACAAAAATTAAAGAATATTCTCAGAAGCGATGGTTTTTATCTCCTCGGGATAGTGTATGCTTTTCAAAGAAGTTATTTCGTTTATGCATATACATGAGACGACATAAAAACGTTAGTCTTTATGTCGTATCCCGAGGAGATAAAAACCATCGCTTCTGAGAATATTCACAGTACACGCACAGTTTTGATAACAGCTCCATAACCAAAATAAAAACATATTGTTTTATAAAGTTATATATACTACCAAGTTATTATAGATACTTTATATAATTTTGTGTAATTATAAACAAGTTCCTTTCGTTACTTAATAATGTATACATTATATCGTTGTTTTTATTGTAAAAGCACATCAAAAAAATAATATTCACTAACACTATATAACAATTCTTTATATGTAATATGTGAAACAGGTGTAAATTTTTACAATTGTTAAGCAGCTTGAGTAAAGCATGTACAGAAACAACAAAGCTTGATACAAGCGATAATCACTTGATTTATTTTCTATTTACATTATCATTTGCGCATTTTGTATATAAATTATTTTATAAGCTTTAAAATACAAAATTTAAAAAATCCCTTTAAAAGTCGTCTTCGCTTTAGTCATCGTATGTCCTATTCAAGCCGCTTAATTACTTTATAGAAATTAATAATGAGTTGTAACAGTATATGAACTGGGGTGGTCAGCAAAACCACTTTTGCTGTAATAATTTGAGTCCAAATAATAAATTTCTTACTATGTGTAACAAATCCGTTATTTAATATAAATTCTCCTTATTCATAACTATATAAAGCATAATTTCGAGCAGCTAAGATAACTTTATACTAGTTGGGTATATGACTTAATTCCTCGACAACTTGTTTTTATAATGAGTTTAATTTAATTGCGGAATATCAATGTAACATCTGAGCAAAACTAACTTTTATGATGACCATTAATTTGTGTCTGCAATGGTACAATGGTAATCACCTTTAACAATCACCTACAGGCGGCCTTCCAACTTACCATATATTATTTATTATATTACATAACATTGTAGTTTCTATATTCGAGTAAATAGTGAAAAAGACAAATATTTGGCCAGTTGAGAATTTATTCTACAATACTGTGGCAAATATTTTAACATTATGAAAAATTAAATAAATTTAAATTGGGGTTCATTTTTTTATACTCTATAATAGTCGAAATATTTATATATTAATTTAGGCCATAGTGTAACTTTAAAAATATAATATCATACTTTTATATTAACTACAATAATTTTTACTTTACATTTAGTGGAGAAAATAATATTAATTACTAGATTAGCCAGACCTCATTGCACTGTAATGCATTCCAGGTTTACCTGAGCGGCCGTTTAATCGGCATCAAAACAGCCTCAACAATGGAACTGTTTAGAACTGTTAGGTGCTAACCTATTGTGGACTGTTGACCGTTATTGTACCTATCATTATTTTGACGATTTTTCTATTTATGTCTACTAGTCATATAGTCGTTTTGTTACCACTAGAACTTTTTTAATGTTTTCAGTCAGTGGCTTGGTTCACTCAATATATGGAGAATTAGATAGAAAAAATATTTCAAAATTAGATAATTAATGAATACTCCATTATAATATAAACTCCTATGAGTACTGATTATTTCCCATTTGCTGTTGCAATTCCTACAAACTTTACCCACTTTAAATATCACTTTTACATTAATCAGTCTACATTAAAGAGAATTCTAGATATATAAACAATAAAGATTACAAGGATTAACGAGAACTGCCATCATTCACTACACAGAAAAGTATAGTGTCATACCACTTTCTGTACTACAGTCAATACACACTATTTTCAGTATCAACGCCACATACTAAAGATGTCCATCACAACATTATATGCCCAACAAACAAAGGGCAAGCAAGTTAGAACATCAGTCATCTGCATCCACTTCTTCATCGCTCATGTCCTCCTCGCTTGTACAATCTGGTTCAGAGGCTTGGGCACTGCAGCGTTCACACCAACACACAAACAAGTAGTTTTGTGCTAATTCCTAAAAAAATAAATAAATAAATAATGTTTTAACTATTAACAGCCTCGGTGGTCTATCGGTTTAGCACACTGCTTTACTTCCGATGGTAGCGGGTTTAATTCCTCGCACGGTGCAAATATTTGTATTCATGAATATGATTGCATTGGTCAGACCAATGCAATCATATTCATGAATACAAATCACTTACATCAATAGAAAACACCCAGGTGTTTTCTATGTATATTATGTATTTAGAAAAAATATCTAAGTACTTATTTCAGTTGTCTAGTACCCATAACACAATTTGTGCTTACTGTGGGACTAGATAGCACTATGTTAATTGTCCTAGATTATTGTTTTATTTATTTTAAGCTATTGTCACTGATATGCATATTTGAGATGACTGTGTTAAGAAAGTAAAAGTAAGTACTATTTCTTTTTTTCTTTCATCCTAATTATATGTATGTAAAGACTGAATCTTTATAATTGAGATTCTCTCTGCCTATTGTGTAACATATTGAGAATATTGATATTAATGGAAACTAAGGGCCCAAGTTCCCTCAGTGTAGCCTAAGCATGTCACATTTAAAATCATTATGGTTATATGACGCTTGGATTCAAACCGGAGACCATCAAAAGTAAAATGGTATACTAAACCGCTAAAAAGCCGAGTCAATACAAGACCATTATTATATTATTTTGTTAATTATTTTGTCTACTGCTGACTCCTTGTCATTATTTTTTTGGATAATATAATCACACTTACTTTCTGCCTTGAATGTCTTGATCTTTGTAATGTACATTCATCCAAATAACTGATACATATTTCATCACCAGGCATGATTGTCTTCAATGCTTTTAGTTGTATCCTATGGTTGCCATATGGAAAGGTAGACTCAGCATTTGGGGAACAACTGTGGTTGCTTGCACTTTGCAATTGATACAGCCCTGAGCCTTCTGTATTTAGAAAAGTGCCAGATTCTGAAAAAATAATAGGGAAAAAAAATGCATATCTAGGCTGGGTGGAGATACTCAAGAAAGGTAACACAAAATTAAATCATTACATACCTACCTACAACTAAATATGTAACTAGAAGACATATAATATGGTTGACATTGATCATGTTAGGAAAGATGCTAATATTAGAATTTATAAGTATATCTTCTCTTCCACATTCTGACGTAATCTATTTCATTCCTTTGAGTCACATCTGAGTTTTTGTAAAATATTATATTGTTAAAATAACATATTATTATAAAAAAAATATTATTATTTAAAATTAAATAGGTATTAATTTAAACTGTTATGTATGTGTATATATATATGTTTTAAACTGTTTATGTACAAACATAACTGTTCAGAAACAGCTAAATAGATTTCAATGTTGTATATGGTAACAATTTAGTATGAAAAGGTTGATATAACTTTCTACTGTGGAAATATTTGTTATTGCCATAGGATAATATAAAAAACCTGTCACATTAACGTAATAGTAGAGATTGAAATAAAAATTTTATATACCAACTTACCTTCTTCAACATACTGATACAATTTATCAATAAACAGATCCAGCTGCTGTCTTTCATCATCAGACATGGTGAGCTCCAGTACATTGTTCACCCACATGGCTAGTGGACTGGTGCCAATGCCTTGACCATTAGTTCCTATCAGTGCCATCAATGTACAGAAACCATCTGGTGTGAGGAACTGGAAGAAAAAAATGATATGTCAGTGCTACTACCCAGCCCTAGATTTGCACAGGTATGTATAATATACATATAATATATATACCTGTGCAATTCAATCATAAAAAAACATATTAAATCAATTGCTAAAATTTCATACTTTCCTAAAATAAGATATGACTGTTATTATGCAATACTCTAATATTATCACATTTAAACTACTGTAACATTGTCTATAGTCATTATTTATGTCCTATGTTAATTTTTTTCTCTATATAATAATTTAAATGAGTATATAAATATTGGTTACTCCTATTCTATTCAAGGTAAACAATCAACCTCTTGAACATGTTCTCCACTAATAACATTAGCAGTCAACTCTCTCAGTGTGTTCAACTGATCAGTAAACTGTTCTCCTAGCAATTTATGCACCAGCTCTGCATCTTCATTCACAGTGCGGTGACAAAATTGCTTTATCTTGCCGGCTGCAGCAGTGGGGTCTGGACTCTGTTGTATGTATGCTAACATCCTAACTAGAAGCATTATGCTTGTAGTTTCAGGTGGATAGTGCATTTGCCTGTAATAATATATATTAAGTTACAACATTAATTAAATTTGATAATTATAGGACCAAATTCAATTACATGAGATTATAAACACTAACAACTGAAGTCTTAAGGAAAGGGGAGGACTTAACTGAAAGTTAACAAAGGATATTGACGATAGGAATCAAAATGTCTATAGGGTATATAAAGTACTGATTCTGTTATAAGTAAACATAGTACATGGCTGTATGCAGTAAAAAAAACTTTATAAAACATTTTGTCAACACATAGATATGGTTTATATCAATGCTTAAGAACATTGAGCTAAAGTTTATTATAATACAGAGTTAGTTCATTAATGTAACATCACTTACTTCCAGGCTTCCAGAAGAACCATAACAGGATGTTGAACATCACTTATATTATGACACAAACTTCTATGATACACAACATATGCCTGTTGCTTGCAACTTTCACAGCAGTACAGTACATCACACTGATCACATGTTGTTATGTTTTCAAGGTTTGTTTCAAAGCAATTTGAATGTGGCAAAACAATATCTGGTTTGCATGACAGCCTTCTGACATTTTGCTCTGGTGTCTCTAATGGTCTGAAATAATTTTATTTTTTTAGTTTTTAAAGTTAGGCAATGGACAATAACTGATTGTGACTATAACAAACAAACATCTAGTAAATTCTAAAATATATACATAATGTAAGCTATGTACTGAAACAAATTAATTATTAACAAAATTAATTATTAACCTATAAACATGTGTATTTGTATATACTAACCTCATACAATGATCACATGCCAAATATCTGTATGCGGCATTCCATGCAAATTGACAAGAAACCAAGGGATCTTCTTCTAAAATGACATCGCCTTGGTCATATTGCCTTGTAGCGAATAAACTTTTACCCTATAATTATACGTAAATATAATTACTTATTTGAAAAAAATAATAAATAATAGGTATAAATCGAAAAATACTTACTTTTTTGCAATTAGAATTTCTAATCTCAAATCCTGACATTGTGGCTTAAAAAAAGATTTTACGGAATATTTAAGTTATACTGTATTTGTACAACCGATAATTAGAAGAGAACTTAAAGTATTTTGTGTAATATAACCATAATCGGTAACAACAGAATAGTAGAAAAAGTAAATTGCAAAATAAACAATTTTATAGGTTATAATGTATGTCAAAGTGCAGATAATATAATTATTTAGTGTCACTACAGACACAAAAAATATATAAACTATGTAACAAGAAAGTTCACTTAAAGTTTTAGACTTATCTATAAAGAATTATAACTTAACTACAAACGATTGAGTCAATTTATTGTTCAGAATACAAAAGAAAAAAAGGGTTTTCCATTATTTTGTTTCTTAAAAATCAAATTCTCAAGTGAGATCACAAACTTAAGTATTCTATCTTCTTCTCACACTGTTGCAATATTTGAACGAAGTTGCCATGCTAACAAACATATTTATTAATGGTATGTTTTATGCAATGGATTCCATATTCCATTTAATTTTAAAGTTTACTATTTACGTCAGAAAACTGTATCCCTTCAATATTATGAATTAAATCTGGTATCAAACAAGTTATAGGCATGATATGGTGGAATGTTTCATTGAATACCTCACATTATTGTGTTAACATTTGTACACCCCTTCTCTTCATCCACCGTTACTTCATTGAAATAATAAAAACATAATTTTCAATTAGAAGCTATTCTTTATTATAAGCAAAATTTTCACCAAGTTATTGATGATACATTTAGCAATCTATATGTTTCTATCGTGTCTCGTTCATTTATCAGGAAAGAGATGTTTGTTTCGGGAATAGACATAATAATACACTTATAATTTTATCATACCTTATAATATACGTCACTATATAGTAGATACAGTATAAAATATTATCACATTTTAAAATACGTAGTTATTGTCTACATATTCTCTGGAGCTTATGTCTTCTTGGATGCTTTTCGTTCTACTCACAGTTTATCAATTCAGTTTAATTGATTTCGTTCATGCAATTTTAATTCATATAACATTAAACTTTAATTATTTTAATAAGCACTAAAGTAATTCTCAATAAGTCGCCTACTTTGTATAAACAGTCTCAACAAAATGTTTATTGGTAAGTAACAAATTTATCTATTTAGATAGATATATGACATCCGGATATATGCTTTTTACAAATGCGTAGTAACTTTATTTTTGTAAGAATCTATTTGAGCAATGGTGTCAAACATGGGCATGGTCTTGGTTTCAGGTGTGAACGTGAGCAACAGTGCGGATACAACTGCAGTTGATGAAAAGAGAATTGATGGCAATGCTGTGAGTTCCGTCGTCTGTAAGAAAAATATTCATTATTAGTTTATATTTTAGGAACATTTACTATTTACTTTTGATAAAATTGCATTAGCAGATGGTGAGATGAAGAGATAGAGATGGTGACTCTATTCTCTCAAATTTGACTTTAAAACTGACTCTATATTAATGTAAACAATATTTGAAAAGAATACGAGCTGACTTTCTTGTCAGTTCTTCTCATTTCGAAAGCATTCCGAAATCTGAATATATATAACTCAAAGGTGACTGACATAGTGATCTATCAACGCACAGTCCGTACCACTGGACGGATCGGGCTGAAGGTACACGGGCATGCAGGTAGATGTTATGACATAGGCATCCGCTAAGAAAGGATTAATTCTACCCCTAAGGGGATAAAATAGGGGATGAAAGTTCGTATGAAACTTTGTCAATTTTAAACCGATCGGGCTGAGATTTTGCATGCATAAAGCTACTATGACATAGGCATCCCCATAGAAAGGATTTTGATAAATTCCACCCTTAAGGGGATAAATTAACGCGAGCGAAGCCACGGGCAAAAGCTAGTACTAAATAAACCTACAAGAATAAAGATATTTTTATTTGATTTGATTAAAACCACATCAGTTCTCAGTCTGTCCAATTCTTATGTAGGTACTTAATTAGCTAGCTTGTGACATGTGATATCTGTAACATATGTTAATTCAGTGGATTTTAAGAACCAAATACGGGTGTGAATTTAAGGCAATGAGTGGTAAATATTGAATCTTTCAATAGGAAATATTAAATAACAAATTCCATCGTAATTACGTTAAAGGATATTGTTGGGTTTGTCTGTCGAGTATGATGTCACTACACTATAAACAATTTACGATCGATTTACACCAAAGTATAAAATAAACAATGTCAAAATGAATACAATATAGTGTTAATAATACCAATAGAAGTGTTAGCGGTGCTAACATAGCTCCAATTCTCGCCGCAGTGTTACCACAACCAACTAGCGAGCCCCTCACGCTTGTCGGAAATAATTCCAAGCTGTATGTGTATATGCCAGTGAAACATACAACTACTCCCAACTTTCCTAATAGGAACAGCAGAACCTTCAGCCAAGTAATAGCTGAAAAGAAAATTATAATATATGTAATTATTCATATAAACAAAGTTACAAAAGAAATTCTGGGAATGATCGCGCTATTAGCGATGTATCCAACGAAATCTGGACCTATGGTCATGTTCACCATAACGTCGACAGTTGGCTACCTATGTCTTGGAATATCTATGTCTACCCCATCTGGGAGATGATAGGCCAACGATCTCGGTGGTCCAGCGGTATGTCAAAACGCCTTACTTATGATGGTCGCGGGTTCGATTCCTTGCACGGTACGAATATTTGTATGCATGTGTATGATTATTTGTATTGGTCTAAGTGATTTCTATATGTGTTGTATGTCGTGTATGTATTTGTTGAAGAAAAATGTATTGAAGTATTTCTATTAGTTGTCTAGTACCTATAACACAAGTTCTTCTTAGCTTGGAACAGATGGCGCTGTGTGAATTCTCCTGTATTATTACTATTATTCCATTTAATAAATAATTTCTAATTAAAGATCAGCTATAGAGCGGTACAGTTTTATGGCAAAGTACGGTTTCCTACTATAAAGAAAGTAAGGCTTGGAACAGAATAATTTTCATTACAGCTGTATTATTATATTCACATTTTTTTGTTCTATGGTTATATCACATAATCATTAAGCAGCCCACTTGATCCCTGTATTCCTGGTTTTAAGAATTCTCTAAATCAATAAATTCAAAATTATTATCTATTGCCCTTGCAGTGGCCTAAGACATGTAAGTATTTAACATAGTTTAGTGGGCTATAGCCACAAATAAAAAGTACCTAGATACACAATATATTGTGTAGTTACATATCTAGAGTATATTATACATAAAATTTATTATATCAGCAATACTCACAATCTGGCGCATAGGTTTGAGCTATAAGAAATATGGCCGAAAAAGCATAGCCACTTTGCAATGTTATTCTCCTTCCGAATTTGTTGAACGTGTAAAACGCTAATAGATCACCAGGAAACGAAGTTAATGAAGATAAAATAAAATTAGTATATTTATTTCCTGGCAAAAGAATCGAATGTACTACCAATCCGTAATATAGAAAACTGGATGTGAAGAAACAAACAGAAGTGACACCAACTCGCGTCATAATCTCTTTTGAATTTAATATATCTCTGAAGTTTTCCTTCTCTTTCTGTGTCTCCACATTAAATTTCGTTCTTATTTCTTCATCACTCAATGCATCTATTTCTTCAGGGGTAATATTCAATTTATTTGATTTGCTTATTACTTTCAGCGTGTCTTTTGCCTCTGTCATTTTTCCACGAAGCATTTGCCATCTAGTACTTTCTTTTAATAATATTATGTATGATATAATCAATATCATTGGAGTATAGACAACCAGTACTATTAGTTTCCAAAACTTTAGACCCATTGCTATAAAAGCGAATGCCACTTCACCAACATAAACGGCATATGAAAATATGACACCTGCTAACACTCTTTTAGATTCACCACCAACTTCTATTACTGAAAATAAATAATATTTATTGTTAAATTACCTATATTTATCAGATATATCATTGATCGTCATATATCATTATACTGATTCATAATAATTAATTATTTTTTATAAGAAAGCAAAAACTGTTTTCATTTGTTATATTTCTGTTATAATAGAACTAAAGGTATCATAAGACCATAATAGAAGGATCGACGAATGAATAAAATAGCAACATAAGAGTTCCGTATTACGTTTATTCCGTATTACCTTTGGAATTGTAATAGTAGAGTTCCAAACAGATTACTCAAGAACAACCCTACATTTTCTAGGCACTTACCTAATGCATTTGCACCGGCATTTACGTGTATATCAAAATTAATAAAAAAACTTACGTAATACAACAGCCACTGTGTAAAGTCCAGAACAAACAACAGACTCTAAAAATTCCACTATTAAGTAAGCGTAGTAGCTTGTTATGAAAATTTTAAAGGCGCCGATGCAACCTCCCACTGAACAAATAATCAAGGTGGGCTTTCTTCCGAGTCTGAAAATTAAACAACCAACATAAAATGTTGTGTACATGTACATATTCTTATGTATGTAACGTATATGAAATTTATTACATTGTATAGGAAACAGAAATGCAATTAAATCTATGAACTCTAGCTCATAAAAGACTCTAGGACTATAAGTAATAAAATTTATTTAATTAAAATTGCAACTATTTTAACTGTCATTGAAATTAAATAGATATATATGTATTGTATAATATAATATAATTATATTCTCCTGACATTATGTTTTCATCATAATTCTTAGTCCAACTATATCACAATACTGACATATGGAATATGTATTTGATGACATTATTTATCGGTCGGTATATTTTAAATCTCTCGGATTTATTTAGGTTTTATAAATATTTCCATACTCAGCTAGAAATGTAAATTGACACCTTAAGTTTTTTTAGGTCTCAATCATATTCGAACATGTGAACTTTTCGACCTAAGTCGGGTTACTAAAGTATAGTACTAGCCAATAACGCTCTCATTGTTTTTCTGTAACAATGATTAGCTTTTATTAATAAACATTTTACTCATTTACGTCATACGGCCAGTCGTATCACGTAGACATGCCTATATAATAAAGGTATGCCTATATTGTACCCATTATAACGGAAACAAAATATCTCATTATATATGCGAAAGCAAAGCATGTTGTTGACCGGTTCTAGAAATTGCTTTTATTTCATTAAATTTGTATATTAATTACGAAACCAGGCATTTGTAATTTGCTTCTAGTTTTAGAAATTTATTCTTTACCTATCTACTATTCAATCTACTTTAAAAAATCAATATCAAATAGAAAATGACAACAAATTCTAAAATTTATTTATCATATACCTCCTTTTTTCCCATACCTACTTATCCTACTAAACATAGACATACATAATATTGTAACATATCCTTCTTTTTCGCACTCGCTTCTTATTTGGACCACTGTTCGTGTTAGGTAGGTATTAAATATTCTTTTTGTTGCGAATTTTTTCACAGTGGGTACCAACTTCTAACCTCGTACTCTGCTTTGTCGCTAATCGTGTTGCGACATCTAACCATCGAGTTTAGCACACATACATATGTATATACTAGCTGTGCACGCGGTTTCACTCGCGTTAAATTTCTTTAATATTACTATAAAATTTCGTTCGAATATTTTCGTGAACGTTCATCCATAACTTTCGTGTTTATTTTCGTGAACGCGTGAAATTTCAATAAAAAACATCCATATTCTATAAAGTTTCATTGTGACTTTATTTTTGAGTTTATAATATTATTAAGATTAATATATCTAAGAGAGGTTGTTATTACCTAACGTAAATTTAATATCAATCAAAAGAGTAATACATTAGGATGACTCCACGTCATTCCACCTGGAAATTACGGTGGTTAATTAATTACTGATGAATTCAACACGATGGGCTAACAGAACTGACTTATTGCGCATCCTATCTTCCTGCACTAATGCCGCTTATAACTACCGTTAGAGTAGGCGTAGGTAACATTCCATTACCATACATATTAAAATATAAAAAAACCATAGACTAAGTAAGAAGTCCAACTATTACTTACTTGTCGGTGACCCAACCAGTGAATAACATAGATAGAATCATTCCTGCGTTGTGTACACTGCCAACTAAAGTGGCCTTCCATGATTCGCAGCCTAGATTAAGCTAAAAAAACAAAAACACAGTTACTGCCTGATGCATAGGTCAATCTAGGGATGTCATGTTTTCTTTCGTTAAGTTAGAAAATCATTCAAAGCCAACGTAACCTTCATCGTTTATTAAAAAAATTGTTAATATCTATCAAAAACGGCGACTGTACGAAGTAGCGTGTGATAAAAAAAATATAATCCTACGTTTAATACGCAAAAAAGAGTATTTGGAAAAGTATATAGAGTATGTGTTAATTAAAAGTTATAATAAATTATATTGCTAAATTCGTCAGTATCCATCAAAATATCGCTACGAGTCATAAACAATACAAGTTCCTGGTTTCACTCAAAAGAGAACATACGCGAAACAGATTGCGTAGTATTTACACTCATTATATTATATAATTATAATATACGTATGTATGTAAATCAACAATGTTATTGATCGTACAATGACGGTTATAGTAAGGCACCTCTATTCATTGAACCCTATTGTATTTTTCACCAGTTGTTTAAATATTAAATTAATTTAAACAAATTGTTTGATAGTTTCAAATAAACTAATTCAGTAGTTATATAATTTGGAATAATTGACAATAAATGCACTTATTTACTTTTTAATATTTGCATACTTTATATTTTGTACATAGATAAGTTTGGTATCTAACTGCACAATGAACTATAATTGTTATCTAGAATTTTATAACTAGTATACTATATACAGAAATAAGTTAAAGCCTATAAAATAAATTATACCTTACCTCTGAAAATATAGAGTTGTGATTCTCATAAATCCATTCATCACAGTCTTCTAATAATTCAACAAAGGTTGAATTGGAGCACGTATGGTTACCGAGGTTGTATGCATCAGGATCTATGACCGGTCGAAAGCACTTCTCGTCTACGTGATCGGGCCACCACGGTGGTGTTTTCACACTAGGATTGAGCGATTCACATTCTGGTACCTTACATCTACAACAATGTCAAAAAATAACACTCGATTATTCATTTCAGAACCACATGATATTCAAACTCAGGGGTGAGTTATAAAGGGACGCATGCATGCAGTTTAAAAAAGGTACTAATACGCCTTTGTCTAAGGAAGAGTTATAATATTGATATCAAATAATCTTTACATTTATAGTTTTATAGTCTATATATATATATATATAAAGAAATTTTAACTGAATATATTTGATTTAAAATCTTACAATACAAATTTTGTAAAATTATGTACCGTGCGAGGAATCGATTCATTTGGTATTGGATATCGTATTTAACCAATAATAACATCATGTTTCGATGATTAAGAGTAGAGCTGCAATGAAGAATGTTGAGAAAACGAGGAAAATGTGATGAGGACGATGTCACGTGGGTCATTTAGTATATTATAAATTCAAAAGTAAGTTTGTTCATTTTCAAATTCATTTCATAGTTCAAAGCTAGGCTTTCACTCCGTCATGAAATTATATATGTATATAACGCACTAGCTGTGCCCGCGACTTCGTCCGGGTATTATTGACCAAATAGAGAAAAAATATTAAATAAACTAAAGCAAAAAAATCAAAGAAAAAAGTATCATCCTTCCAGCTTTAAAAATGACGATTTTTCATACAAACTTTCATCCCCTATTTTATTTTAACCTCTTAAGGGTAACATTTGTACAAACTTTGAATGATATATTTATTTATATTTAATAAACAACCTAAAAAATAAGTCAAGCTTCTAGCTTTAAAAATAACCATACTTCCATACAACCGTTCATCTCCACTTTCAATTACTTGCAAACCTATGTCCTTTCTCAGGGTCTAGACTATCTATGTACCAAATTTCATTTAACTCGGTTCAGTAGTTTTGGCGTGAAAGCGAGACAGACAGAGATTTTCGCATTTATAATATTAGTGATATTAGTATGGATTAGCTTTTGGGATGAAGAGATGAATAATGAAGAAATAAAACATGGGCTAATTTAACCCAGTCATGATGAATGATTAACCATGATGGTCACACCAACGACGCGACTACATAAAGTTAGATAATAAAAGAAACAGAGTACACGTGTCTAAAAGTTTGTGTGTATTTGAAAGTTGTAAGCGTATTCAGCCCGCATTCGTCGTGCATTGTGTTACACTGAAGAATATGTTAGATATTTATGCAGTTATGCAAAAAGTTGACCTGACGTAATACAATTTCTAGAAATAACATACACCGTTTAACTACTTTCAATGAATTATGTAATTTATTGATTCTACGTATTTAAAGATTGGTATACCTACTCAGTGAATATTGTGAGCAGTTGACAAAATTATAAATCGGCCTATACCTTATCACAGAAAAAGAGAACATAGTTTTTTTCATTTTCCAAATTTATATTTGTGTGTTTATACAAAGAGTATTCCAAGTTTTATTAAGGAATAACTACTAATAATATGTATACTATAATATAGTACTTACAGTAGTAGTAAGTAGTTCTACTTATACTTATTACAGTAACTGTATTTAGGTGATAATACATAAATAATCATTCATATTTACCTAATTTAATTTTACCCATACAATCTACATATTTTGAATTTATTTACTCTTAAGTTTTCTACATCAATTCTATATGGTAGGTTAGTCTGTCTACTATCTAGAAGACATGTAGATATATATTGTCATATACATCTTACTAATATTATAAACATATAACTTGAACGTGAGTATGAATCTTTCACTCAGAAACTACTGAACAGATGTTGATGAAACTTTACAGTAATATAGCTTATAAATAAATGTCAAGTAAGTGTAATGCAGACGAAGTTGCGAGGGTCAGCTAGATCTAGAGTAATGTGTTATAAGTAGTAGAATAGTCTTTTAAAAATAGGGTAATTACGTTACTACTTGTCTGACAATAAATATGTATATCAAAGTACGGATGTGTTTTGCTGTTCTTATTTCGATATACACATTCAAACAGTTGATTTAATCAACAAAGAGCTATCTTTAATTGTTCTGAAGCACTCTATGTCTATTGTAATAAAAATCTTAATTCTATAGAACATCGTAGACAGTGTATGACGAAAATTCAAAGCTTGTTAACGATAGCTACTTGGTCAATGGGCACCGAATTAAATTGTTTCAATTTGTTTTCTGTCTACGTATAAATGAATACATTCATGCGTACACAATATTTATGAGCAAATACTTTAATTAACAATCTTCTTATTATGATCGTATCGTATCGTCAGTTTTGGATTCTAGGGTCTTTACTGTTATTGTATATTTTCAGGGAGATAATTATATTTTAATATTATTTTTGGAAACGGAACACGTGGAGCAGTGGTCCTATTTTCATTCGTAGTAGGTACATATCTACTAAACGTCTATTTACAATAATGTCAGACGTCGCAGAGGTTAGTCCAATGTGAATTAATTCTGAAAAAGTTAAAAATACCCGTACGTATGTATTTGTTTAATAATAGCTTAGTTAAATAACTAATACCTTTGATTGTTTTAAAATAAATTTGCTAGAGTTCATTTATATTATCCACTAGCTCTCTTACTCGCGACTTCGTCCGCGTATAATTTATGTTTCCTTTTTAATTTAAATGCAAGAACAAACAGACAGGCAGTCAGGCAGAAATATTTAATAATGCTAATACATTTGGTGTCATATAAAATGTGTCACAAACTAACATAATATAGGCACACAGCGAATATTACCAAAGCTACACTTTGTATAAAGTCTTCTGGTATTATTATCTCGCTAATTTCAACCAGCCACATAGCAGATCTCTAAGTTATCCAAATGGTCCGGTTGAAAACCAGCGCCTCACAGGAACATCCTGTCGACGTATGCCTAAATACGCTGAACCGGATCCTTTTGCCGCCTATAATTAAGTATCCTTTAAATATATTTTCTTTTATGTAATTTCATTGGCAGCAATAAATTATTCATAATCTTATACTTGTTTTTTTTTACTGCGTGTTATTCTGTAAGGCCCGTAGTAATACTCATGCGTTTTCATTCCAGAAAACTAAGATGTCATGCCCCTGTGATGTTAATACCAGTTGCTAGCGGCTGAAATATAGATAGAGATGCCTATGCAGACTATGTTGTATAAAATCTACCTGTTTTGCTTTTTGGAGTAGGTTGAAATGGCGTTATTTAGCCACGGTAAAGTAACAAAGAGGTGGGCTTGATGTTATTTTTAAAGAGAAGAATTTTTAAAGAAAGTCCACGGTCAAAGACATGCGAGATTCACGTTATTTACACCGTTTTGGGTATGAGCCAAAAAAATACGTGTAAATTAACCTTTTGCATCAACAATAGATAGGTAATAAATATAACTAGTCTCTTCAGTCCACACTAATATAATAAATTTAAAAGTATGTATGTCTGTTTCATTCCTTTTCTCCAGTAAAAGGGTTAGCAGATGGATGTAAGTTGTACGACCGACATCGTCTCTATAATAGCAAATGAATGTGGAAAAATGTTTCACATCTGCAAACTTACTGCACTTCTATGTTTTCTCCTTTGTTCATTGTGGAATGTTCTCGAACAGTCAAATACAATACCAAATAGAGACAAATGCAAATGCGGTACTCTTTGTGAGATTATCGACAAAGAGCACCACATAAGATACCTCATACCGTCTGTTTTGCCGGACTACTCTAATGCTGTAGCTGGCCTTTATAGCTTCACCGAATGATAAGGGGCGAGTGCAGATGGCACTCCAAATCCGTGGAAGGACTTATGGAGCGGCTGAAGGCCAACTCCGCCTAGCCTCATACCGTTATACGTGTACCTACAACTTAAGACGATGATTCCTTCATGTTTTTAGTTCAAAATTTATAATCCATTGTGCCATTTAATCGATTAAATTAAATATTCATCCAATTAAAACTAGACTACCTTGATGGTCTAACGGTTTAGCAAACCGCTTTACTTACGACGATCGCGAGTTCGGTTTCTCGCTCGCAAACACTATTCATGAGTATGATTGTTTGTTTCGCTCTGGGTGTTTTCTGTGTATATATTATGTATGCATTTATAAATAAATATATTTAAGTATTTCTATCAGTTACCTAGTACCCTTAACACAAGCTCTGCCTTTCTTAGGATTAGATGAAACTGTATATTTTTCAGGGTTATTATTTTTATTTATAATCTGTTTGTCGATTAATTGACAACATAGATTATAAACAACATTGACATTTTATTGATTCAACCTAATACCAATGAAAACTACACTATTATGTTGTCCTTGTTGTGTTAAATTAGAGTCAATTTATTGCTACTCCTTTTCATTCCATGGATGTTATAATATGCGACTTAAAATAACAAACTACAAAGCGCATGTATCCATTAGCACACTTTTCTGTTTTGTGTTTCGGCCGAAGCCTCAATTTCTAGCGTGTTTTTCGGCCTGGATATTGAAAATAATTCCTACTGTAAAACAACAACGTATTTACATATATATATGGTATACATATATATACAAATATATTGTTGTTTTACGAAGAGGATTGTTAGTAAAATAATGATTGATAGCAATGTAACTTGTCAGGTGGACCTGCACTTTGTGCCCCCTGGAAACCATCGTGGTTAATTCCAGGAGAATTTATCTTGACCTAATGCTCATTTAATCATCGTCGATTACCGCTCTACAAGTGAATAATGTTATCTCAAACAAATAAACTATTCCAATATTATCCATTAACATAAAATAACTAAATAACTCCAATGTGAAGCAGCAATGCATATTGTACATTTCAGAATGCGTGTTATATGAATTTACGAATTTAAATAATATATACTATATTAGAGTGATATTAGTATCAAACATATATTCGGGAGGTGGGGGGAAAGGGGTCGGGTCGCAAGTCGTTTAATAAATTGGTCGTTGACTGCTTAATGATATGAACGATAGAGTCACATTACTTGTATATTAAATACGTAGATAAGAGGCTGGTTATAAGTATAATTAATAACATAACTGCCCTGGCATCACCCGGGTGCTCATAGCTTTTGAGAATTTATATATATATCTACTAGTGGTCACCTAGTGGTCGAAATTCCATAATTAATTTAACATTCAGATAAATAATATTAAAGATAAACATATTAATCTATTCTCAATTTGAGCACAGACATTAACAATAAAGAAAAGAGTATATATGCGTGTATGTGTCAAGTTTTTTTTTTATATATATTAAAATGTTAAGTAATAATGTTAAGTATACGGTAATGAGTGTAATGTACGTATATTAAAGCATAATTTTAATAAAAATAGCATTCTGCACTCATTTTCTATATAAACAATAAGGCTTCAGCGGAATTTTCGTAAATAGGGGTACAAAGATTTTGCTTAATTCATATGTAGTTTAACAATTCAAATAGTGAATAATTTTTAAAAATCGTGTAATAAGTACTATTTAAGTTATTAACTACAAACTTATGAACAAACTTTCCTGTTTATAATATTAGTACCTAAACATAAAGAAGCATTGCGTATCTTCATTATGGTACTAAGTGAAATAATTTGTAATTCTCAATTACTTCAGCCATCAACAAGCTGGTATGTGTACTCAGGTTCGGGTTTGGAATAAGAATTCCTGCACATGGAAATACTTTAGTCCTCAGGTACGATAAAATGTGAAAGGTATAAGCGCCATATTAGATATACTATATATCTAGACGACGGTTGCCACTTTCAATCAGGTGGCCGCCAGATAGTTTGCTATTATAAACACAGCAATATGTCATATAAAAAACCAATACCATTAGTACATGTAGGTAAACGTAAGTGTTAACAATTCTAAATTTAAAATTTCGTTTACAAAAAAAATATTATGCGTTTTTACATTATTTATCCAAATTTCACAAAACTATTCTGCATACACAATAGAAGGTTTATGTCTAAGGAATCTACCTCTGTAATAATCTTTGTACGTACACGCAGTATTTGGGATAAGAATGTATATTACGGTGGGAAACATTATTAATACAAAAAAATTTACTATTATTTTTGAAATATTAATACTAAAATATCTTACATGAATAAATTAGTTTTGATTTAATTATGTATAAGATATTCACATGAACTGCGAATGTCAAAGGTAAAACATTAGTACTTATAAAATAAAAAAATCTCACCTATAATCAACTTCTTCAGCAACGAACACATAATTAACATGAGCCATAGATACCATAAATAAAGGTATGCATATCAAAAAATATTGGAATAATTGATATCTACCAAATTTCTCTATTTGAATATAAATATCACTTTGCACTTTCGCAACATTAATCACAGTCATTTTTATTAATTAAATTGTTTATTTTTAATAATAATATAAATAAGTTAGAGTATTATTAATTGTAGTAATACTAGTTTATTTTAATAATACTGGAATCTACGAAAGCATCTACTGTCTGACGGCCACTATAATACTAAATATACTAAAGATACGATACGCGCGTGCCATAAGATGAACATAAGAAACGTACACACCAGCCGATGACACACGTGGGAACAACATGTGCAAATAATAATTCTCCTTACAACCAATCCTTACAGCGGATTTTCATCGAGCGAATCTATTCTTTTCCTTGTTACACTTTATTATTTTCTGCCGAAAAAATACCGCTCGAAAATAACATATATATGCAGGAATGCTAATTAAATTACGGGTTACGGGATATGACATCTTAGTCTACCAGATTGAGAACGTATAAGAGGTACCACAGGCGTGACGTATTTAGTCAACCATTGCCATTTGCCATAATCACCGCCGCCTTGTTTGCCATTCCAATTTGTATGTAAAAAATCGCCAGAAACAAATTCGCAGTGCGAGTATAGCCTTAGTTACGGTTAATTTGGCGTCTACTCTCGATAATATAAAAAAGACACTCTTGTCATTTTACTCAGGAATCTAAACATTTGAGATATTTATGTAAATTCACATTTTATTTAAAATAGTACACTCGACTTCTATCGTGTGAAATTTTACTTTATTTTTCTAAAATAAAAGTAGTCTAAGTTACTTCTTATTACCGCAGCTACCTGCCAATAAAAGTCCCGTCAAAATAAGTCCAGCCATTTCAGAGATTAGCCGGACAAACAGACAGACAAAAAAGTTGTAAAAAATGTTATTTTGGTTTATGTACCGTATTTATATTTATATTACAAACAGACACTCAAATTTTTTTGTATGTATAGATTAAATAGATAGTTATAATAATAATCCTAGATATTACACACAGAGCCATCTAGTCTCAAGCTAAGGAGATCTCGTATTATCGGTACTAAAGAATTACAGAAATATATATATTTTAAAATAGATACATACATAATATACGTAGAAAACATACAGATCAATACGTAATATTATATTATCCGTGTCAATACTAACAATTACATATAATAAAGACAAATGTGCGCAACATGCAAGAAATCGAACTCGCGACCATCGAAAGGATTGCGGTTCTAGACTACCATAGCCTTCATCGTTAAAAATAAACTTTGTATTTAAAAATAGAAATAGATTTCTTTTATATTTATTTGAAGTGACAGCTTATTATGATTAAACAATAAGTCAAGAGCAGAACATTTACGTTCTAGTACCGACATTGGCCTAACAAATTTGACAAGACATGTATTTGCGTGTTGTATACCTATATATTTATAGATATTTCTCTCACAAGCAACAGTCTAGAACAACTTCTATAAATAACACTTTTTTTTATTACAGAAAAATTATTAATCTCATATCTTGTGTTAATTTATTTTACTGCGATCCTTGATTAACGTAGCCAAACTTATGAGAGCCTGTTATATTAAAATAGAAATACTTGAATATAAATCTACATATTGCGAAATAATTTAGAAACATACATATTCTGTATATTGTATGTGGAAAATAAAGAGTAATGAAGTTATAAATAATAACTACAATTGAGTAATAATTGTTTAGATTCATGCGTCGCTGCTCTAGTGCTTTTCCACGCCGCTTTACTTCCGATGGTCGCGGGTTCGATTCCTCGAACGGTGCAAACATTTCTATTCATGAGTATAGTTGTTTGTGCCGATCTGTTTTCTATGTATATTACGTATGTATTTACAAAAAAATCGAAGTATTTATATCTGTTGTCTAGTACCCATAACACAAGCTTTGCTTAGCTTCGAATTAGGTAGCGTTGTAACAAAATTCTACATATAATAAATAAATAATGTACAAAATAAATAACAAATATTACAAACTAACATTCAAACAAAATCAAATATATCAATCAAAATCAAATTACCTTACCATATATATACACCGCTGTGCATTGTCTGATGATATTGCTCCCAAACAACAGGATTATTGGGAAAAAAAAATATATATAATTCTTGTGTAAATAGGATAGTATATCAATCTACAAATGTGATTTAGACAATCTGCCCAGAAGTACCTACCGTATTCACAGAAAGTAACATCGCAACCGTTCCTCCTTCATTTATGTACCTGCTTTTTGTATAATGAATCACAAATCACATATAGTTAAGATTATAATAGCATAGCTTTATTCTGAAAACAGTTAAATATACAAACAAAACTTATATTTTAATTACTTTATGGTCACAAGAATAACTACATCCTAATCAAGAAGAATATTTGGAACATTAAGTCGCGGAATTTCCTATATTTAAGTATCAATAATATGAATAGATGCTGTAGGTATATTTTCGCTGAACAGCTAAACAGTATATCGCATGAGTTCTTATGCCAACTTTAAAAATAGATTACCTATTAAATATTGATACACACGTTATATTCACTTGACAGCTGTGGAGTATGGTTATTGCTAAATTTCAATTTTTTTCATTAATTTTAAAATAGCAAATACTTCGATTACCTGTTTTTGGGGGGAAAGAGATTGTTGAAAATAGGTAGTAGTACCTTATTGCTAAGTATCCCGTACCACCTGAATTGATCTACATGATCACACAAATGCAAACACCATCAGTGTTCGTCAGTTCAATTTCAATCATCTCTAGTGACGAATTACAAGCGCAAAGAACCAAGACAGACATTATTTCGATTGGTGCCTCGCGTTAATCAATTCCTTGTTAAATCAATATAAGTATTACGCATTCTCGAACGGAGCACCAACATCATTCAATAAAAAAAAACGTATTCTATTTAGTGCTTACATATTTTTATGCAAGTTCCTATAAAAATTATGGGATTCCTATCATTCATGGGTTGTTATTCCGGAGGACTATGTATTGCCCATAATTTCTCTTGTATACCACATATCTGTCTTATATAGAAAGACAGCTTACGAAGCATGCTTCTTGGCGTCTGAAATAGGTAGTTCAGAGGTATTCATCTCATCACTTCGCACAAAGTATCAAAGTCAACCTAGATAATAATTTGTATTTTGTAAAATCTGTGCCTTCTGCGAAGTAAAGGATATTTTAGACATGCAATAAATTCGGAACAAAGTCAAAATTTAAAAACATATGTATTACATATGTTATGTTATATAACTAGCTACTCGCCCCGGCTTTGCCCAGGAGTACATGTATTTTACATATAAACCTTCCTCTAGAATCACTCTATCTATTAAAAAAAAACCGCTTCAAAATCCGTTGCATAATTTTATAGATGTAAACATACATAGGGACGAACAGACAGCGTCTTTGTTTTATACTATGTAATGACAATGATGATATCTGCGTTATAGACCGTTTTGTCTCGTAAATTACTTTTAAATTTTATTATAAGCACCGATTGTATTAGTTTTTATTTGAGACAAATAAAGATGATTATTATAATTTTTTTTATATCATATAGCTGCGGCTTCGTCCGCGTGAAATCTATCTCAAATAAAAGTAGCCTAAGTTACTCCTTATTACATCAGCTACCTGCCAAAAAAAGTCCCGTCAAAATCGGTCCAGCCCTTTCAGAGATTAACAAACAGACAGACAGACAAAAATGTAATTTTGGTGTATTTATATTTATATGCATGTAGTAAAAAACGGTTATTTCAATATTACAACACACGTAATATCTATACGGTAGGGAAAAAAATAAAATTAGAATGTAAAAATTTGACGTTCATAAGATGTATATATGTATGATTTTTGAATCTACATACTTCTAAACAATGTACCTATTTATTTCCTCAGTGTGTCTGAACGTACATTATTTTTTCTGTGTGTCTATATATGTGTGTTATTCGTAATTTCTTTTATTTACAGTAAATACGGATATCATAAAATACATGCTTGTTAGTCAAGTTCTATGAAGTGGACCGGTATACTTAGATGACAACGTGTGAAAGTGTGTATCGCAAAATTAAATAATTACTTACCTACTTACTTTCACTTCGGGTCACCCAATGGCAAAAGATATACTTAAATTCTTGTAATGTAGAAAAATTAAAATACAAACGGGAAAATAATACAGTGACAAAATTATCGCATAGATACAAGCATTGATATCGTAACTAGGACCTACCCGTGATATTTGGAATTATTATTATTACATTTTTAAGTGTTAATATTTAATGGACTGCACAAACAGTTCAATTGAAAAAACATACAATTTATTATGACTAAGATTAATTATAAAAACATTTTTTTGCTGTTATCCGCGACTACCTAGATAAATTTGTTTTACTTTTTTTTAATATAATACCAATAATTTAAATAGTCTAAATTATATTATTACTTTAGTTACCTGCAACGTCGACTTTTACTTTTTTTTTAATATAATAAATAAAATAAAATAAAAATAGTCTAAGTTATCTTTATTACTTTAGATATCCCGTCAAAATCGGTTCAGCCGAGATTAGGTTCCGAGATTAGCAATAACAAACAGACAAACAGACCAAAAAAATATTAAAAATATTTTTTTTATGTAGATGCCCTATATATTCATATATATTTAGTGAAAAGATGTTAAGTTGAAATTACAAACAGACACTTTAATTTAATTTATTTGTATATACAATAAACATTATTTTAGCACTAGTAAACATCAGTACAAATTTTTAATTTCATATTTTTCCGTCGTTTTTATTTTTCCAAAGTTTGTGTTTGTTATTAACAGTAAAGTGTTTCTAAGAATATATCCTACACCCGCATATTAATGAAATTAGCGACTGACTTCATGGAATCCCAGTTTATTTTTCTTAAGTAATAATATTAAAAATAGATCTGTTTAAAAAAAAAACGGAACTACTAAAATTGTTAACGAACTTAGTGTTGTAGTAGTTTCTCTTTCTTTGTTTGCGGGTTCGAACCCCATAGATCTTATGAGTCATGCCCATGTATGTGATGTATACTACCATTATGTAGTATATATTTAGGAATAAACAAATTTAGTAATGCATAAGTCTTCAAAATATGGGTATTCAAAATTCAAAATAAATATTTTATTTATCTATTGTAGTTCAATAAAAAATATAACAGACTCTATGCGAAAAAACATTTGAATAAAGGAAAATATTACTCAAATAATATGTTTTACAGACGAAAGTACTTAATTATAAAATAATGACTAGGGCAAATAGGCAATTTATTCAAATCTAGCCCAAAGTCGAGTGACGACCTGGCAACACTGATCTTGTGACGATTAACTGCATCTTAGTTATATGACAATAATGGCGAAACAACTAGTATCCAATTATCATAGCCACAACACAAACTTATTAAAAATAAAATTAGTGACAACTGGAAATGGCGCTCAGATTTTGTCGTAAATAAACTTTCATTTCTATAAGTAATTGTCTGAAAATGCATATAAAACAGGTAAATTTATTTGTGTTTTTTATTATAGAAACTATTAAGTAACATATATGTCTTGTAGAAGTGTTACTTATTGTTCTAGTGTGGTATGGAATCTACGTGCAAATGTTATTGTTTTTACAGGTAATTATTCAGGGTTTTAAGAGTTACCGCGAACAAATTGTGGTGGAACCATTTGACAAACGCCACAACGTTGTAGTTGGCCGCAATGGATCAGGAAAAAGTAACTTCTTTCATGGTTAGTATCTACTTTATTTGGTGTAAAAATGTATTTACATTTAGGGATCTCATGTCTCATTTCTGTATGAGTACCAAAGAAAAAGTAGAGAACATATTATATTGTAGATAGCTGTACCATGGTACTTGCTATAGGGTCATAAACAGTAGTTATTACTTAAAACTTTAATGGTTAATTTCCTAATGTTATTGATATCATTATAAGCTTTTCTTTTTACAAATAATCACCTCAATTGGAGGTATAGTATTATATCAATAAAATAGTACATGTTTAGCTTTAGATTATATTAAAGAACAACTACAGGCAAACATTTCATGACTTTCATGTGACTTGTTTATAAATTAAACCACAGAGTGAATTTAATATGGATGTATACTCTTTTATTTAAAAAAAAAGGTTTGTTTAATATAAATTACTTACTCATTAACTATTGTGAATATTAGCATTTCTACTTTTTCTATTTTGAACTCATACAGTTTACCAAATATCTAAACATAAACACATGACAATAGTAATTTCATTGCTTTCATGTTTTATTTAACAATATCTAAGTTAAAGCTGCCAAAAAGGAAACCTTTGTTCTGTTATGGACTGTATATTGGTGAACCATCATTATTTCAACAATTTACTGTCCATAAAAATCATCGTAGATATGATACAAACTTTCACATATTTGCATCATATGTACAACATATAACAAATTGTTTTGTATTATATTCAATGCAGTCCTGAAAGGACTTCAAAACAGCATTAAAATTGGATCCCTATTTTACCTAATAATTATTAGTCATTTATTAAGATATGCTACTCAATAGCACTTATTTTGTTCCAAAAACTATCAAACATACACATCACATTGTATTGATTTTTCAGCTATACAGTTTGTACTGAGCGATGAATTCTCCCATCTGAGACCTGAACAACGGTTAGCATTGCTCCACGAAGGCACTGGCCCCAGGGTTATATCAGCCTTTGTGGAAATCATTTTTGACAACTCTGATAACAGAATTCCTGTAAGTATTGATAAAACTTATGTTTATCTATGACAATAAATTATTCTGATATTTTAGACATAAATTGACATAATTCTCTGCTCTATTTGTATTATCATTGCCTCTATGCCATTACTTTGGGTAGACACAGTATGTAATTTTCTTTCATTAGTCCCTAGCCCTAGCCAGCCATCATCATACATTGTATCATACATATATCACAATTGTATCCTGGACTAAAATTGTCTATATCAAAATCTATATGAATGTTATAAAGTAAGAGATTTGATTTTGTAACATAAGCCTAAATATTTGCTCTGTTCCATTCCATAACAAAAGTTATTTTCTCAAGTTCAAATTGTTATCAAATTATAGTTTAATCTCACTAAGACAAACCTTGCTTAAACGAGATAAAGCCAGCTGTTGATTTTATTTATTCAAAATTGCATATCGCAATACTAGAATATAGAATACATACAAAAATTGCTGGAGCCATTGTATTCTGTTTCAAGATTCTGTCAACTGTGTAGTTTATGATAAAATTATTTTACAATTTTTACAAATTTTCACTGTAATTATTATAATTAAAATGTAAAAAACAAATAGTACTACAAAACATTCAGTTTTTATAATATTTTGTATGCATCTGTATTATATAATTCTCAAAAAATTGTTTACATTAATATATATGTTAATTTATTGTTAGTGTTATATTCCTTATAATTAATTCTATAAATTATTATTTATAAAATTGGGTTGTAAAGTAAAATTAAAGTGAATTCCTTAATCATAATCAATAATAAGTGTTTGTTATAAATGATTGCAGATTGAAAAAGATGAAATTTTTCTCCGACGAGTTATTGGATCAAAAAAGGACCAGTTTTTCCTTAACAAAAAGGTGGTGCCGCGTTCCGAAGTCCTGAATCTACTAGAGAGTGCTGGATTATCCAACTCAAATCCATACTACATTGTTAAACAGGGAAAGGTTTGTTTTATTTACAAAATATCCTTAATTTTTATAAATGGTATCTAGTATATCTTTGAGATACTTTACAAAATTACATAAATATGATTTAGGACACATTCAGAGGGTTTTCATACCGTGAGATATGTGTTTGGTGTAAAAATGAATGTGGCTTTAGTGGTTGCAGCCTCTAAGTGATAGGATATAGGAGAATTAGTGTTATTATTACTAATCAATCGTATTTTTGTCTACCCCAAGTTATAATAATAAATTATGATTTGACTAACCTAACCTAATTCATAAACTATTGTTCATGGATGGCCTATTTCCCTTTTTTCTAATTTCCCTTGGCATTCAATATTCCATAGCAGTAGCAATTATATTTAAAATATTAATTACTGTCATTATTTATAAATTGTATGTAGTCATTTATATACCTATTTTTAAAGACTTAAGCAATTTAATAACTTTTACAGATTAACCAAATGGCCATAGCTCCTGATTCACATAGATTGAAATTATTGCGAGAAGTAGCTGGAACTCGAGTATATGATGAGAGAAGAGAGGAGTCTGTTACTATACTAAAAGAAACAGTAGGAAAGGTAAGACATTAATGGAAAGAATATTTTGGTTTATTATCTCAAAAACTATATAAATCACAAAGTGATTACTCTTACTTTAATCATATTTCATTATAGGTCGAGAAAATCAATGAATTCTTACAAACTATTGAAGAGCGCCTAAAGACATTGGAAGAAGAGAAAGAGGAATTAAAAGAATATCAAAAATGGGATCGCTCTCGGCGAGTGCTCGAATTCATCATACACGACACAGAACACAGGGAGAACAAGAGAAAACTTGAAGAGGTAATATTAATAATAATATCTTAGGATAATTTACAGCGCCATCTTGTTCCAAGCTAAGCAGAACTTGTGTTATGGGTACTAGACAACTGATATAAATGCATTGATATATTTTTTTGGAAAATACATACATAATATACATAGAAATCACCCAGATCAATACAAACAATCATACTTTGGACTACAATTTGTCTGTACCGTGCGAGGAACCAAACCTGCATCCATCGGAAAGGAAGATGGTGTGCTAAATCACTAGACTACCGAGGCCGTCAACTGTAAAGTGCTTAAGTATCACAAATAATAATTTATAGCGTGACAAATTAAGTCTACTATGGATATAAATGAGACATGTTTGATAACTTTCTAACTAGGCATCGGTTCTTTTATTCAGGAAGTGCGAGTCTCTCAAATGTAATCAACCGTGATAAACTCGTGGGTGGGTCATAAATAATTAAATTCGTAGGACTTAAATTAGAGATGATCCTAATGTTTAACTTTATTGATGTAATTTAACTCTTCTTATTTTATTTAAATTGAAATCCTATTTTAGTTAGAAAAAATGCGCTCAAACAGTGGCAAAGAACAACAACATTACGCTGATATGGTGAGGGAAGCTCAAGAGCATGTTAGAGAGGCCAACAGGTATATTTATTATTATTAAAAATTGTTATACCTAAGTCAAGCTAACCATCAAATCATAAATTATCTGATTTATTAAAATTATTAGTTTTGTTTAATACAACAATAAATTTTGTGTATACTCATTTAAGAATGTCAAACAAACAGAAGTTTTAACATAAATTTCATATAACATTTTAATATTCTCTTATTTTTTTAAATGTTAATTAATAAGTTTCAATAAAAATTCAAATATAAATAAAATTAATTCAATTTGCCTTCTAATGTAATTTTATATTACAACTTTTATTTTTTATAATTTCCATCAAATTCATAGTCAATGAGTACTCAGTTCAGTATTATTTGCATAGGAAATTGAAAGAAGCTCGCAAAGATGTTGCAGCTGCTCGAGAAGAGAAAGACATACTGTCCACAGAACAACAGCAGTTGTTAAGAGAGAAAACTAAACTTGAGCTTGGCATAAAGGATTTAACAGATGATGTGGATGGAGATAATAAGTCCAAGGTATTCTTTTAATTAGTTATAATTTTTTCGTATTGTTTTTATATAATAGAAGTTATAAATCCTGCTGGGCAACAACGCAATAATGGTGTGAAAATTAGTAAGTTTACTCTGGTGACTTAAGTGAAAGTATGTTTTGATACAACTATATAATTTTTAAAAAATTAAGAAGTGAGAGTAATAATAAATTATATTTTTTTTATAATATAAAGTCGCTTTCGCTGTCTGTTCACTTAGATCTTTTAAACTACGCAACGGATTATAATGCAGTTTTTAGAGTGAATGATTTAATGTGAAGCTGGGACGGTAGCTAGTTAAATATAAAAAAGTCTGTCAGCAATATGAGTTTGATGAATGTAGAGAAAGTAAAAGATGTATGTATGAATCGTAGCATTTAGTGTTCCATTGACTTTGTCTACCCCAATGGGAGACAGGCGTCATGACATACAAGTAAAAGACGTGATTTAGTATATTTCATAAATCATTCTTCAGAATTAAATCGGGTTTGTGAATAAATAAGAAATACATACATATGAGCTAACGAACCATTATTCTTAAGTTACTTTTTTATTAGTGAACTACATTATTCTTAATTCCATTTTTATATGAATTCTTTGTAACAAGCAAACTAAAACATGCAAATTATAAGTTTTATCTCATCATAACTATTAGAAAAATAAAATTACTGTTATTTTGTACTACTACATTTGTTACTAAGTAACAATTTATTTTTAATGTATAATATTGAATTGCAGTATTTAAATACACAAAGGCAAAAATCATATTTGACAGGAACGCGCCGAAACTGAATTAACACGGCTGAGACAACAGATTTCTGAAAAGGAACGCGAATTAGAAGAGCTGAAGCCGAAGTATGAAGAAATGAAAGCTCGTGAGGAGGAGTGCACCAGAGCACTGGCATTGAACCAGCAGAAGAGACAGGAACTGTATGCGAAACAAGGCAGAGGAACGCAGTTTACTTCAAAACAAGACAGAGATCGCTGGATTGAAAAGGAATTGAAGTATGTATTTAACAGGGATGTTATAGATATGAAATTTCGGATATAGGAATGATTATTATACCGGATACGGATACGGATGCGGATATGAAATTATTTCGGATTATCCGTTAGTTTCGGATAATTTCGGTTACTGATAATATTTTTTTAAGAATTTCAAAAGTAAAATACAAATAGCTAATAAAATGGTTACATAACATGTCTCAATTAGGCTCCGTCCGTATCTGATATTATCCGAAACTTATTTCGGATTCGGTTACGGTTACGGATATTTTATTATATCGGATATCCGATAGTTTCGGTTACGGTTACGGAGCTCCTTAACATCCCTGGTATTTAATATTTATTTTATTTATTTTTATATATTTATATAACTTCAATGCACAAAATACCAAGGTAAAAGTACATATGGCGGACTTAACGCCTTACGGCATTTTCTACCAGTCAACCACAGGTTGTGTAGAGAAACTGTAGGCGGTGCAAATTTAATCAATAAGTAAATTAAACCTATGTCATAAATAATATATATTTACTAAACGTAAGTACATGTAAATATTTATATTGTTAACTGGGTCTTAAATGGAATCATTTCATGGTAAACAAAGGTCACCTCTCGCGACGTTTCGACTAGGTTGCACTAGCCATGGTCAGGAGCTGTCTCAATGTGGTTTACCACAAAATTATTCATGTTAGTAATCATATTTGTTATTTATATTGTTAACCGGGTCAGTTAACAATATAAACAATGTTAAATACGGAAGTATTTAAATTTTCCTCTAGTTTTTATGTTAGAATCACATTTATGTGTAGCAACAACGTTATCTAATCTATACATATAAATAAAATTAGAGTGTCTGTTTGTAATATTGAAATAACCGTTTTTTACTACGTGCATATGAATATTAATACGGTACATACACCAGAATAATAATTTTTGCAATTTTTGTCTGTCTTGATGTAATAAGGAGTAACTTAGATTATCTTTATTTTAGGGGAAAAAAATCCTGTTTAGGGCTGTACTTTTATGATTATATGTACCCTAAGTGACACTAATAAACAAATTTGTACTAGACTGAATTTATACAAGAACTGATTTCTGTAAGCAATCTTAATATTAGTCAGACTTTTGTCCGCATTTAGCTTCTTGTCTGTGCCATTGTGCGTGTATAGTCCAGACTACTAGTAGCCAGTGAAACTACTAACCTTCCAGCCATCTATTTAATTTATAAATTCGCTTCCCAAAATATTTATGTATCTAGCATAGTTCATTTTTTAAGCTTTCGCTTAAACAATCATTAATACGCATCACGGTATTTCCTAAGGTCTCTAAGCAAACAAATAAAAGACAAGAAGGACCACGAGAACAAATTACGTGAAGACCTACGTCGCGATGCCACAAAACTGACCGAACTGGAGAAGAGAATAGAAGATATGACAAAAGAAATGGAGCGGCAACGTGTGGCTATTGATGAACACAACAAGCAGTATTATGAGTGCAAGAAGAGGAAGGACCAAGAACAAAGTGTTAGAAAGTGAGTAAGGTTCTAATTTAGACTAGTAACATGCCCCGGCTTCGCCCAGCTAATTATAATTTTATAAATTTTGAATATGTAGCTAATGTCACTCTGCAGTTATATACCTTTCTAACAGTGACAGATTTTTTTCAAACCAATGCACCTCAGAGTTTACTTTCCTCATGATAAAAGCTCTTTATCTGTATATATTTATATCATGTTATTATATGACAAAAAACAACGAAATAATGATTTGATGATGAGTTCATAATATTAAGATATTTTGATTATATAAATTTAATTAGATTTGATTTTAAAATTTTTTACTTGATGCAATTTTGTAGTAATGTGTTTTTAACAGTGAACTATGGCGTAAGGAAACTACATTGACCCAAAATTTGTCGTCATTGAAAGAAGACTTATCCAAAGCTGACCAGGCTCTTCGTTCTATGGCTGGAAAGGTAGTATCCAATTTATAATTATGTATTATTTTTTATAATAATAAATATAAGTATTTTGTTATGGATCGTATGTGATTAAAAATTCCACTCATGCTCATTATTCTTATAAGTTTTGACCTATGTCAATTTTCTACATTTGGTTTGTTTACGTTTTTCTTACAGCCAATATTAAATGGAAGAGACAGTGTACGTAAAGTACTAGAGACATTCCAAGAGAGAGGTGGGGAGTGGGCCAAAATAGCTACCCAATATTATGGCCCTGTTATTGAGAATTTTACTTGCGATAAGACTATTTACACTGCTGTTGAGGTAAATCTAAATACTTGGTAGGATATTAATTGAATATGTTTATTTTTTTAAAGTTTTTATTTATATATTTATTTATTATATAATTGTCCTCTGGAACATATAATCTAAAGCAGTTTTCTATACAGTTCTCCATCAAAGAAGTTCATATTTTTTACATTTAAAAATGATATATAAAAATTTAAGATTCTATGATCAAATTTACTAAAACCTTCGCTGACCTTCTACTCTCGCTTCAAATAATAACTTTCACCGTTGATAAACAGGTAACAGCTGGCAATAGGTTATTCCATCATATAGTGGAGTCAGACACAGTGGGCACAAAGATATTGAAGGAAATGAACCGACAGAGCCTCCCTGGAGAAGTCACGTTTATGCCACTTAATCGGTTACAAGTACGAGACATGGTTTATCCTAATGACAATGTGAGTAGTAATAATTTAATAATATCCTTGGACAATTCACACAACGCCGTCTTGTCCCATGCTAAGCAAAGTGGTATAAATACTATTTTTTTTTTTGTAAATACATAGAAAACACCCAGACCGATACAAACAATCATACTCATGAGTACAAATCTTTGTTGGTGCGCTAAACCACTAGACCATCGAGGCCGTCGAATAGTCAAACTATGTTCGCCCTCTTGATACAATCTGAACTTGCTTCAAATTTTATCAAGATCCTTTCCTTGTTTAGTCGTGAAAAGGTACAATATTAGTATGGATTTTAGCAGACAGATGGACGATATAATGTTCATTAATTAATAATTACAATTACAGAATGCTATAGCTATGGTACAAAAGCTGAAGTACGATCTAAAGTACGCCAAAGCTATGAAATATATATTTGGAAAGACACTCATCTGCAGGAACTTGGAATGCGCCACAGAACTCGGCAAACAATTCCACCTCGACTGTGTAACTTTAGAGGGAGATCAGGTAACTGAACAGAAGTTAATTTTAAGAAGTTAATTTTAAGAAGTTTTAACTTTCATATAATAAGTATAAAAGTGGCGCCGGTGTCAGAGAGGTTGAAGAGTAGTCGTCTGTCATGGTATGGGCATGTAAAGCGTAGGAATGAAGAGAATATTTTAAGGATGGTATATTACAAATGTAACGTATTATTTATATATCGATGGTTATAAAGGGCAGAGGTAGGCCGTATATATATATTTATATTAATTGGATTTTTTTTATGAAATATGATATAAAAAAAATATATTAATGGAGTATAAATAAAGAGATGACTCTCATATAATAAGTATAAAAGTGGCGCCGGTGTCGGAGAGGTTGAAGAATAGTTGTCTGATGAATTGAAAACATTATGCCGACCCCAAATAAATGGGATAAGGAAGAAGATAATGATTTATAATAGGTTCAAATGAAAAAATCATGAAAAATTGAAAATTTGTAACTAGAAAGTTTATAACCAAGATTCAAAAAAATTAAATTTTTTCAAATATCTCCATAGATTATATGTGTATTTCTATGTAATCTATAAGTTGTAATCATCTATATATATAAGATATGTAGATATATAATATTGATTAAAAATAGTTATATATTCAGCTTGATTTTGACATCACTTTCACTGAACAAGTAAACTAAATCTGTAAATTAAGTCCTTACATATGATTGCCGTTTTAGTCTATTGCACATCCAATTTTGAAAATTAACATATACTTTATTCTTTTATGTCAATCGCAGTAGCTTAACAGTTTTCGGCCATACTTCCCCTATATACACACATAAACAGACATTGCACTGTTTTCGTTTATCTACAAAAATTAAAAATACCTTACAATTTGTAGGTATCATCCAAAGGGTCCCTCACAGGTGGTTACTTCAATCAGTCGCGGTCACGTTTGGAGATGCAAAAAACTCGTTCCGAACTTATGGAACAGATAACTGCACTCGAGCAAGAATTAAGCACGCTCAGGCAAGAGTTGGGCAAAACTGAAACGAGCATTAACAGCATTGTTTCTGAGATGCAGAGAACAGAAACTAAGCAAGGAAAAGCGAAGTGAGTTCATTAATAAGTTTAGTATCTTCGCAACTGACATGTCTTTTAACTTTTAATAGCGAGGACTTGCTAGTAGTTTGCCTTTGTACCTCATTATTACCTATTTCAGCCGCCAAGCAGCTTGCTTGCCGCAGTAAGCTGTATTTCGCTTGAAGGATGCTAAGGTTGTGAAATTACATGTATACATAAGTCTTCAGGTATACATTAGTGGTGTCACATAATAACGTCATGTTTGTAGTGATGTTGATGTTTATGTATAAACCATAACCATATATATGCTATAAACCATAAAACATGTAATGATTTTTTTTTATGTGATACTACTTATAGTTTATATCAGTAATACTGAGTTAACTTTCCTGTGTATAAAGCTACATAATAAATAATTATATTAATAAAACAACAATCTTCCAGAGACATATTTGATAAAGTGAAAGCCGATATACGTTTAATGAAAGAAGAGTTGGGATCCATAGAACGGTTCAGGGGACCTAAGGAACGGTCTTTAGCACAATGCCGTTCAAGTTTAGAGGCCATGCAGGCAACCAAGGAGGGTCTGGAATCTGAACTGCATCAGGTATACCAATAATATAACAATATTTAAAAGATGATTTGACATCTATCGTTTTATCTCGGATTTATTTGGTTTTTTTTGTTGCAAATGATATGATAAACAGCAGTCATGTCAGTTAGCCCATCGTGGCGAATTCACCAGGAATTAATTGCGATGCTCTCCAAGGTGGGACCGCGGGATCACTATTCCCAATTCATTTGATAATCACCTCCCATCCTATAATTAGTTCATCATTGAAGAGTGATTTAGAAATATAAATGGACACATAGTTTTTATTTCGCCAGATTCCAATAACTATTAACAATAACAATTCCAATAACTAAGCCCCCCTAGGGTTAGTACTATAGTACCATTAGGCTACAATACTCAAAATATTTATAACTCAATGTATAATACTCAATAATAATATTAATGTCGTATATAGGAACTAATGGAACAACTGTCAACTGCTGATCAAGGGAAAGTGGACGAGTTGAACGACGCTATACGGCGCCTCACGCAAGAGAATAAAGAGGCGTTCAGCGCTAGGATGAATCTCGAGGCCACTAAAAATAAACTTGAGAATTTACTTACAAACAACTTAATAAGGTAAATATTATATTTTAATTGACATATTGGTAAACTTCTCTAAACGATTCAATTGTTAAAGGTTCGGTTTATCAGTAATTGGTAGCTCTCTTTCTCTCCCTCTCTCTCTCTCTCTCACACACTTATTAATGAAAACCTCTTTAATAACAAATTCGATTATTATTAAAAATACTTTTTCTCTTAAATGGTCTCTTTACTCAATAGACGTAAAGATGAATTAGTTCAAGCTCTACAAGAGATCTCTGTAGAAGATCGCAAGCGGCGGCTAGCTAACAGCAAAGCGGATCTAGCAGCAGCTGAGAAAAGGATTCGACAGATCAACAAGGAGCTAGAAGAAGTGGAACGTAAGGTGCAGGCCGCCGTAAAGAACGAGAAAGCGCTCAAGCTGGAATTAGACAAGTGGAGGAACAAGGTAAGATTTCTAAATTAGTTGATTAGTTCAATTCCTTGGGTTATGTATCTGTCAATTATTAAATAATAAATTTTACTTGTTAGTTACTTTGTACATGTATGTATATACTGTGTCCTCTAATTCTGCCACTATCAGCTATCCAAGTTGTGTAACCATTTGAAAAAAGAAAATAGTGGTAATGAAATTATAGGGCACAAATTTTAACAAATTGGCTCTCAGAAATGACTACGTATGAGAAATAAAACGGAAGCCACACTTTTTTGTGACGTCCCTAATGTTGCTTCTGCTACTACTTTAAATTCGTGTGTAAGCTTATCTCCCATTCTATATCCTTTAAAAAAAGTTGTAGTATTTTTATGAAATGTTAAGTAATTATAATAAGTATTTTTTTAGGAAAAAGAAGCCCAAGACAAAATGGAGGAAGATGCTAAAGGATTGGAAAAGATGGCCTCTAAAGAAGTGTTGTTACAAGAAAAAATTCAGGAATCTCTAGATAAGATCGCGGCTCTGGGAACGCTTCCTAATGCGCCCGAATTACATTCCAAATACCAAAAGATGTCGTTGAAACAGGTGACAATACCATTTGTGATTTATGCTTATCATATCCTCCACCAACGATGCCCCAATGATGATCAGTAGTCTATTAAGAAAACAATATACATTTCATTTTTAAAATTGTAGAATTGCCAATAGGTACTTTACCTGTTTAGAACTAGTAGAAAATTCTTTATTCAAATATACTTTAATTTAACATGTTTGAACAGTTTTTGAACGTGTGAACAGTCAGACATATTTTTTTTACCTACCGCTCATTCCAAAAGCTACCTCATCACAAGAAGAGCAAAGGTGAAACGTATGTGTTGCTCTTTTAAAAATTTTTGTAATTTTACATTTTAAAATTGAAATGTGTGAATATAAACTATTAAGTAGCATTAGGATGATTAAGGATGCTGATTTTAAATTAACTCAATTTTATACAGTTATTCAAAGAACTGGAGAAAGCAAACCAGCACCTGAAGAAGTACAACCATGTGAACAAAAAAGCCTTGGATCAGTTCATCAGCTTCTCAGAACAAAAAGAAAAACTTTACAAACGGAAAGAAGAACTTGACATTGGGTAATGTTTTTAATTTTGTTCTTAAAACTCTTTTTTTATGTATATTATGTATTATACAAAGTATATTTATTACTATTTTTACTACTAGTTTGAAACCCTATGTGAGGTCTCTAGGTTTATTAAACAAAAAATAACTAATATTGTAAACTGGAAGTTTGTGAGTGTAGATGGTGGATGGATGGATGGATGTTTGTTACTCTTTCACGCAAGCTGACGGTCCAACTGATGCTAAATGATAACTGTCGCCTATAAACATGAACAGCACTACGGACATCACGTTTAAATTTATGCCCCATGTGTTGCTATTCTGGAGGTCTACGATGCAATCCGCTTGGTGGCAGAAATAAGTGAGACTGGGTTATCAATGTACAAATGTAACTATTTTTTAAATATGAATTGTAGAAATTAAAGGAAAGGTGTACTTTAAGAATAATTTATTTCTTAGTTTGAGTATAAGAAAATAAGTTTTATACTTATGCTAAGTCTTATAATCTATATTCTTTATAAATATTAGTGTTATAGTTATAAACTGTCATTAGTACGAACACGAACTATAGGTTTACAAGACTTGTTTAACGTGGGGAAAATTCTCATGAATACCCGCCCCAGGGGAGGATAAACAGGTACTGCTGGACTCTTACCAGCTAAAAACCCCGCGGTGATCTTTCTCTTCACCTATTGGCAGAGTTACGGACATGCGTAAACAGTCTTCTGCAACCCCATCAGGACAGATTTACAAGCCTAGCTAGTTTTGATAGAACTTTTGTACTCTTTGTATTCCCATTGGGGTGCAATTATACATGTTTTTACAACGGTGGAAACCAATTCCATACACCATATACCATGACATATGGCGGAAGATAGCTGACATTCTAGCATTTTTACGGTATTGTAAGTAAGTTAAACTCTATCTAATAAATATAAAATTATACACAAATATTTTTTACGTTGAATGAATCTTAGTAATCTACATATATTTTTAGTGACATGACCTGCACATGCCTATTCATAAGCACAAACATACACTTGTAAAAAAATGTTATATAATAAAACAGTAATTTATATATATAAAAATATATAGGATACTGTAATAATTAATATATATTAAAAGGAGTTTTTATTTTTTTGTAAAAAAAACGAAACTGTAATTGTGATAAATTGTTCTTTGAATAAATTAACACATAATTTGTGGTTTCTAATCAATAGTAGAGTTGCAACGTCGTTTTTTCGCTCCACACTTGATTATATTCTGTATCATCTCTACAACCAGTCCACTATTAATCCGCCAACATTGAAACCTTGCAATGGCCTTGATACCGTTTATCCATGTTTGAAGTACAATTGCAAGATGAGTTTCGCTTGAAAGAAAGATATGGTGTCTGTGTTAGTGTAATTGTGTCTTAGGCGACGATTGCCACTTGCCGTCACCTTGTTTGCCATTCAGTTACACATAAAAAAGTCAGCCCTGTTTACTTGATTTTCTTACAGGATGTCGTAACTGTTTATGTATTTGGCACTTTAAAATACACAACTTATTTCATTAACTTTACGATGATTTAAGCTAGAACTTAAAATTAATTTGTACATTTATAATTAATATACTATAATCTGATGACATCTCGATGTTATGGTTATTTTTAATCTAGTCACATTAAACTGTTAACCTCATATGACCATATCCTATATTACCAACCTAATTAAATTTACCATGACTTAAGCTAGAACTGACAATAAAATTAATTTATACATTTATAATTATTATATTATAATCTGATGTCCAGTCCACGGTCTTGACATCTCGATGGTGTGCATATTTTTGATTGAGTCACATTTACGTTTAATCCCATATGACCATATCCTAGATTCCTAGATACCGCTCCGGATATTTTGTATTCTGCATCACACATGTTATTCTAGATGTAAGTCACAACTTTGTCCGTATTTTTAATAAAGTTCACTTTGTCACTATTTTCAAACTGTAACACTTGTTCAATAATTTTCAAGATCACAGTTTCTTTTAAATCGGGAGCATATAAATAGTCCAAATGATTGTAACCTTTCAGATATTCGTACATAAATACATTTGGTAAATGTTTCCTCAATATACTTACATCAACAGGATCAGATATCCAGTCTTCATCACTATAAAACAATGCAACAGGCACAGTTATTTTACTAACTTCATAATCGGGCGGTAATACATCACCGTACAACTTCAAATTGCGTTCAGCACCAAAATCGTAACGACAGAATCTCTCCGAATGCACCAATTGACCGTAATGTAGAAATTGAAATGTAGATGATGCACTAAATGTATGGCCTAACATGACGGACAGCATTGTGCCATTTATAGACTTATAATCGTCACCTACGATTAAAGTTATATAATCCTTGCATTTTATGTTCAACACACTGCACACATAAGCTAAGACCTTGTTGAAAAACGTTGCACTTGGTACATACGTGTTGAAATTCGACAGAAGATAGTTCAGTATGTTGTGCGCTGGTGACAGCATCCTTATTAACGGTGATCTGACATGCGACATCCAAGCTATAGGTGCAAGAGAGAACATCATTTTTATCTTCTCATTATATTCAGGTCTCAGCGAATTCAACGCATAGAATGATGTTGTACCTTGAGAATGTCCTACATAATACATGTATTCTTTACCCGTTATGTTTAATATGTAGTCGATCATTTTTGTCGTATCGTATATTCCTATTTCTTCCCATGTGAACTCCCAAAACGATGGTTGTGTTGAATTAAGTTTTACATGTTTTGGAGCATGTTTGTTGCCTCTAGCGTTTCCCATCCAAACATCGAATCCGTAATCCGCTAGTATATAACTGAAGGCCTTATCGGGTCCCTGTATTACCCAACTATCAGATGAGTCCGTGATGCCGTGCATTAGAAACACAACAATATTGTTCTTCTGTCCGTCTTTTCCGTGTGGTATTCTATGAAAATTTATTATATACCCATCATCAGTAATAACAGTATGCTCTTCAAACGGATATCCGTATTTATACGCCAATTGCGATATATTTAAATAAGCGTCCTCCGGTACTGGCACTGACAAGTTTGATTGTATCTCGTTAATATTTTCAGTTGACAATATACTGAATATATCTTGAAGGTTGTTCAGTAAACGAGCGAAATCACTCATACTGACTGCATTCGTAACGGTGCTAGAGTATTCTATATTTGGCGACTCTATGCTTTTCGCATACCCCAAAGTCGTATGCGACAATATGAACAGAAACAAATTAAAATACATGGTTATATTTTTTTTTCGTTATCGTAGAGCGCCAGCTTTGAACGAATTGAGGCGTGTCGGTGTCGTTTTCATATTTATACATTTGTTTTAAACTGCTATTAGCTACACTTGTGTGACGCTTGAACTTATTTCTAATTACTCTATGAGATCTTGGCACCGTTGATTAACATTGTGCTCTAAATACACATTGAACTAATGACATTAATTGTATTGGTGTTAAGGATTCCCCCATGATTGATAAAAAAGTATGTTTTGCATTAATCATTATTTATGAATTATTTGTTCGTACCTGCGATTTCTTTCGCTTACTTGTTACCCGTCCAAATGTATCCGCTGTACTACATGACGATTAGTGAGTTGTTGTGTTTCTTAGAGGTACCAGATAAATACATTTTCGCATTTAATATTATAATAAGGATGACCTTTATAATATTATTCTGTAGAGTACTTTACCTGTTAGTAGTCATTCTTAAAGGTCTACAACATATTTTTTATGTATTTCTCGTATTATATATGTGTAGGTTTATTTCTTTATGAAATTATGTAAGTCAAAATTGTCTGTCATTAAGTCTACGTGATGTTTACAAATACTTTAAAGTAACATATTTTACTCAATCCAAAAATAATTCGATTTTACTATGGTATATTCAACGAAGACTAAGAAATTTTATTGTTTTAAAGTAAACTATTATTATTATAAAAACCTTTACAGAGACCATACAGCCAGCAAGTTAAAGCCGAGCTTATTTCATTTTTTTTTCCATTTCGGACTATTGTCACATTTGCTTAACAAATGTGACTATTCAAATTTGTCTTAAAAGGTCTGTCCAGCCATATGAAATCTTCACCAGCGTCTATAGAAGAAATTTATGTTGTTTTTGTAGTTGTTCCTCTAGAATGAATAGTTTCATGTCCCCAGCCCCTCTAGTAATGAGGGTCACAACTCTTAACAAGAACATGTTTTCTCAGTACCTTTTTATTCGCTCAGTACCTATTTGAATAAAGATTGTTTCTATTTTACTTTCAAGGCATTTACCTTTTTAACCACTAACCATCAAAAGTTGTAACGTCATCTAGTTGTTGTTTATATTTATGTCTTTTTTTCTTCTTTTCACAGTGGAGAGAAAATTCGAGAACTTATAGAAACATTGGAACACAGAAAATTAGAAGCAATACAGTTTACATTCAAGCAAGTGAGCAAGAACTTTACAGAAGTTTTCAAGAAGTTAGTGCCACAGGGCCGGGGCAGTCTCATTATGAGGGTGGCGACTGACGACGGGCAAGAAGTCAACGCTGATGTAAGTTATTGTATGCATTCATAGCTGTGATGGGTCTAAGGTTCGAAAAAAACGATCTGTTGCGACACTCACAAACACAAAAAAATATACATTATTAAATGCTTTCGGTGTATTATTATATTATATAAAGGCAAAAAAATATAACTATTTAACTAAATAATATTATACTAATATATAAATTTGGAAGTTTGTTTGTTTACTACTTTATAACTAGTAAATGATTGAACGCATGTTAATGAAATGCAACGTGAAAGTGGATAATATCACGAAACAAACAAAATTGAATTGAGTTCATACAAAGAGTGTGTGTAATTATAAATTGATATGTGTGTCTTTGACTAATCTGTATCAGACAATCGTCTGACAGATCAGTCGATTAATAGGACAGGTCTGCAATTTTGTTTTTATTTTTGTTGTTTTTACAATTTTGACAACATGATAGCACAAGATAAGACAAGCAGGTCAGACGGCCGATATTTAATATACATATTAATATAAATTACTATTCACTAAGAAAGTATTTTTGGAAAATCCCATGGGGTCAAGAAATAATGGCATCCACAATTGCAATTTTTAGCTTCTTTGTAACTGATCACAAATACTGTGTATGAAGGGTTCTGGGTTGTATTCTTGTTTGAAGGGTTAAATATCTTATATGATGATAATTGTCACCATATATTTGATTGAAGGAAGGGATTTCCCATACTTTAAAAAATAAATATAGAAAGACGGTTAAGTTTAACATTCATTTATCTACTATTCGATTTTCAATGTCAATGCCTAATTAGATGCATTGTTAGCCCTGTCACAGAATAATTAATAGGCCTCGTATTTTTAGATAGCGAACACCGAATAATCAATTCTTGTGTATTTTGCACATCGGTTGGTACAGTCTGCTAGGTAGGTATAATTAGGTGGTCATTGATATATCAAAGTATGAAGTATAACTTACAAATATAAAGTGTTACAAGTATAAATATAGACACTAAATTATTCTATATTAAGTATTAACAACATTAACAAATCAAGCACAAAAAGTACTTCAAAATTTAGTTACATTAAATAAAAAAGAAGAATTAAATATACTGTCTCTACATTATTCTGATTTAATTTAAACATATTATGTATCTTAGTTATGAGCAATTTCATTTAATAGAAGGAAGATTGTTAGTATAATTAAAATTTGTATAAAATTTTATATTTGTATACTTGTAATAAATTTAGCACATATGTACTTTAATAGATGGAAGATTGTTAGTATAATTAATTTTTTTTTTAATAATAAATTTAGCATATATGTACTATATGAAAGGTCTGTGTCTGTGTAATGCTATTATATAAAGCTATTTTATTATATAGCACACAGTAACTAATTATCTATGATGTTGTTTTTTATAAAAAAAAAGAACATGTTTTCTTGTAACATCTTGACTTAAGTTACATTCCCAGCTGATAATAGATTTTGCTTATTAATTGTGTGTGAGTATACGCGCGCTCTATTTATAAATAATCAATCAGCTCATTGATTATTTATAAATAGAGACGATTTACTTCCTTATTAGTTCTAAACAAAGGTAATGGTACAATTTTTTTATCAATATAGGAACCCTAAAAAGATCAAGCACTACCGGGAATTAAACTCGGCACTGCAAGGTTAGAAACTACGCACGTAGCCAGGGCCGCATAATTTTCACGGGCGGCGACTTTGAATTATTGATATTAGCAACTTTATACAAAAGTATAATAAAAATTTTACAAACATTTTTAATGCAATAATCGTCTAATAAATCGGTCAACTTTGTTCAAAACGAGAATCGAATTAAAGTCAATTTTATTTATTTGCTGTCGCTAAATTTAATAGCACTTACCAGACGTCGCGTAATCGATATTTTTTTATGTAATTTTGCTTTTTTTTTTTTTTTCATATGTTAATACTGTAGCTGAAACCAACACAAACTTTTACTTTTAGAGATTGTAAATATGAAATTCATTATTAAACAATTTTTTTTTAAACAGCGTGTATTGCACTAGTAAAACCAACTGCCCTACGTCGTAACGATATTTGAGAAAAAGTCGTCTACTGTACAACCTTTATTAACTATGGTATCACTAAAGTTGTTTACTGTGATAATAAAAATCGTAAGATAAAGTGTCCCTTTTGTACATTTGCCTTCCCTAATTTATACTAAGAACAAACTCGCCCAACTTGACCTTGGCAACGATAACCTACTGAGGAAAACTGGTCCTTAATTGACCTAAACCTAGGCTTTTAAATGAGGGCCACAAACTCGTTGACTTTGAACCATTATATCGGTTAGAACGCGTTAATTAACAATATGAGTTGTAGTAACTTAAACTGTATTACGAATTTTATATTTTCTTATGAGAATGTTATAATAATATAATAAAATCTCTAATAATTATAATAATAATACTTTAAATGCCAAATGTTAATAGGGTTACCAATATGTTGTAGAGATCCTCCGCATGAAAGCTGTGAAAATTATCAATATGTATACTAATACAATTTCTATTAAATAAAATCACTGTATTACGTAATTATATATTTAGTTATATTATTACATTTATGAATCAGGTAGAAAATCACTAACCGTATCGCAGTTTTTTCTTCCAATATATTTCTGAGAGCAGTATTTCATAGCAAAAAATATCATTAAATTTTTGAGAGCTATCCCGATAACAAACTAAAAATTAACTTAGTAATTGGTTTTAAATGTAAAACGGATTTAACAAGAGTGTTGAGTGTTAAACCTGACGTCAAATTAACAATACTAAAGGCATTGTCAACTCAACCTCATATGAGAACAGTGGCTAAGATATATTATTATTAATAATAATACCCTGGACAATTCACACAGCGCCATCTAGTCCTAAGTTAGCAGAGCTTGTTTTATGGGTACTAGACAACTGATATGAATACAGATAATTTTATTTATAAATAAATACAAAATATACATACAAAACACCCAGAAAGATACAACAATCATACTCGTGAATACAAATGTCTGTACCATGCGAGAGATCGAAGCCGTGACCATCAGAAGTAACGCGGTATGCTAAACCACTAGACCACCGAGGTCGTCACTATTAATTATTGAAATGTAATAATTTCAGCGAGCAAATGCAGACCAGTTCACAGGCGTCGGTATCAAGGTGTCATTTACCGGCGGTGAAGGCGATATGCGAGAGATGAATCAACTATCCGGCGGACAGAAGTCGCTCGTCGCGCTAGCACTCATATTCGCAATACAGAAGTGTGACCCTGCACCGTTCTACTTGTTCGACGAAATCGATCAGGTTTGTTACAAGAACATTAGGTACAGAGGTTTTTTTCTTAGAACCTTCATTGGAAATATTTTGTACCCGTTTTACGAAAATTACTTACGGAACAGTATGTTGGAACACTTAAGGTTTATATGGAGAAGCAGTGAAGTAATCTACCATTTATTATAATGCTTTATTAAAACGCTTAAAATATATTCAATAACAAAATACTCATTGGACACATACATATATTGAAAATTTAAAAAGATTCAATTGTCATAGATTAATTATCTATGACAATAGAATTTTGGTAAATTTCAATCTTATATAAATTATAAGATTGAAATTTATATTATCTGTCATAACCTTTATCAGAAAATGTTATAATTAAAACTTGAAGAAACAATATAAATGTTTTTTATATGATAGAGTCTAGTATACCACATTTTTCTCAAATTTCTAAACTCTATTGATCTATATCAATTCTAGGTCCAGAACATTTTCGATATCAATGCCATAGACTGATATTTATAATATCTCGTCCACAGGCTCTAGACGCCCAGCATCGTAAAGCCATCGCGAATATGATCCACGAGCTCTCAACATCCGCTCAATTTATCACCACAACCTTCAGACCGGAGTTACTAGAACACGCGCACAAATTCTACGGTGTCAAGTTCAGAAACAAGGTGTCGCACGTGGAATGCGTGACGCAGGAGGAAGCCAGAGACTTCGTGGAGGATAGTGCGACTCACGCGTAAATGAAGTTAATGTTATATTAAAAACAGTTAGTTTCGAGTTGAAACTGCCTTATTATAGTTCGAATATGCTATTCGAAAGTTGTCAATTTCCATTAAGATTATTCACATTTTTAGTTTAGTATTCCAATATTAACTTTATGGAATTTATATTTAAATTATACATTTTTTTGCTAAGACATTTATGTAATAATTTAATTGGAATTTCTTTACCAAAACCATACCAATAAATAGAATGACCGGGACTACGGTCCTTACGTAACATTTAAATATGAGATAAAACATACAGTTGACATTGTATTAAAGCGACACAGAATTATATTCATAATTTTAAGGTTACTGTTATATTTTTGACAATATAAAGATTTATCTAAAGATAACTAGTTGTATTGTATTTGCAAACATTCAATCTTCATAGGTAAAATTATCTGGTTAATAATGTTATTACATCATCGCAGTTCAAGTGAAGTGATTAGTTTCTCGTAAATTTCAAATTTTCTCACTGAGTAACTTAGATGTCAGGTACATTAAAATTATTACTTAATTGGATAATTATAAATTTACACAATTATTTTCGGTTTGTACAGGCAGTCCCATATCCTTAATAATAAGTATGGTTTTGTACCTATGAAACAAGATTAGAAGTATAAATTGTTGAATAGAAAATAATGTAAAGATTTCTAAGTTTATATGAACTATGATTATGATTGGCATCACTATGTAAAATCGATACGCAAGGCGAATAGTGACAAGAACTTTTGGCATTATTGTATTATTTTGGTAGATAGAGCCAATAATATGCATTATTCACTTATGTTTATTTATTGTTTACACAGATATCATATATGGGTAACATACATACAAAGAAAATATCACATTGAGAACCTCTTTTGTTCTGAAGTAGTCAAATAATAAACAGAATATGTATAGTAAAAGTAGAAACTGATTTATATTAAAAAGAAGCAAATGGAATATTATTTTATTTTAAAAACAGCAACATATTTACACATTTCAACTTAGTCGACACTATTCGGCTTGGGTACTAAAATATTTTTTAGAGTACATAGTGGTGCTAACATGTAATAATTTGACAGAATTAAAATTAACTTTTTTATAATTAACTTGTTTTATTTCTACAATCACAGCACAGGTACACACATAAAATGTGAGTATCGTATGGAATCGTATACCTACGGTCCTCAAGAAAGGGAGAATCCTCCGAGATATATATTACATATATATCGTCGAGTAATTTATTAAACAAAGGATTGCGTTAAATAACTCGCATCAAACTCCCATGAAATGGCAGGTACCTACTATTTTTTTCGTTACGAAAAAAGTAGGTTAAAATAGTCTAATACATGCAATAGTAATTTATAAGGTTTATAAATTTATGCTGCTTGAAAATTATTGATTTTACTTTACTGTTTTCTTAAGGATGAGGGAGAAAAAAAATTATACAATTATGAAGTCAAAAGTATTTATTTACAAGTCCATAAATGCCAATATCACGTGATCTTTTGATCACCACTCGAGAATGCTATTGCTTTTAATGTTCTACATTAACATTACGTAAGTACAATATATAGCACATTTACAATGGTATATAATATTAAAATAAGAAAAAAATATATTATGTTGCCAGATATACGAGTTCATTATCATTTAATATTTGTTCTATAGAACAAGTATATTCTTATAATAAACACTGGAATAATCCTTTTCAATAAAAAAATATTCATCAAATACTGTTGAAGATTGGCAATAAGGTAGTATCAGAAAAATACACATTAAATAGTTTCTCCTCCTTTTACAAGTTACAAACGAAAATTATAATTCATCAGAATAAAGAGAAATTTTTGATTACCTAATAAATAATGCAAAATTTATTATCATTGAAAATTACAATAAAGCACTTTATTGGCAATGAATACTAATAATATAGTGTATGTATTTATTGATTCATTTATACATAAAATTGTATATATATTGCAGACTTAATGCAGAAATAATTAGGATCAGAAATAATTTCAATTTAATAATTAATTAATTATTCATGTCTATATGTAATGATTATATATGTTTATTATTAACAGTTATACGGGTCGTAACACGAATATTTATATGGTAAATAAAATATTTACCTCTCAACGTTTCGTCTAGGTTGCACTAGCTGTGGTCACGCTGACTGGAGTAATAGCGAATGTCAATATTGATAGGCATTTGCCGGTTAGTTGAACAAACTGCCGACACCTAAGATAGTAAGAAATTACTATAATAACATACATAAATACTCACGGTATTCATTGCAAATTAAAAATAAATGTGATATGTATCTTTGCTGACTGTCGAATAGAATATCTTTATTGTTTTCTTTATTTTCTCTCTTTACTAATATGACTAATAATTCATTCTCATAGTGAACATTTATAAAGATCCGGATTCTTAAATAATATACACAATTGAATTCATAAAACTTCACACACATATATGTAAAAAAAAAAAAATAATGTTACATAAGTCATAATATTTTACACTACAAAGAAATTAGGTAATACTAGGAAGATATAAAATCTAAACTCACACACCCCAACCTTTCAGATCACACATTTGAAGGCACACTGTCATACTGTATAAAGCGAAATATATCTATTTGCTGTTTAGACAACTATTAATACTATTTTTTCTTATATAATTGTTCCATTCACAAAAAAAATGTAAAATACATCATCCTGAAACTAGAAAATATTTTTTTTAAATCACATATTTCTAGATAGTAACACAAAGTTATAATTGAGTATAAATATAAAGTATGAGATAACAGTGTATAAATAAAATCAAATTGTTCAGCAGAATTTGCTTTCAAATACAGTCGATATGTTATCATTTATTTAGCATATATTAGGAATTTCTCATTCATATGAATTTTTAATATATCATACTTAGCAGTACATTATTTTGAACACAAATGTTCGAGTATAAGTAACATAGCACACAAATTCGTACTATATTTACACAAAACAATTATGATTTCATACTATTTTGTGACAACTTCGTGCACGGTAATCCCAAGATGCATAACGTATAAAGGTCTCTGCGGAGAAAGACATCCGCAAAAGTATAGAGTAATTTAAAAGAACGAGCGAATACTATTATCCTCTCTTCTCTATCTCACTGGCCATTTCTATTACAAAACTGCCGCACATGAAGGTAGTCAAAGACAATTATGAAATTCGTTACAGATTTTTACTATTGACAATGACGAGATCGATGTGACTTCCTTTTTTTATTGTTACAGAGGTTAGTAAGAGTTGTGTTTAATAAATACAACACAAAAAAAATATTGTCACTGCAAACATTAAAAGTAAACGAAACACATAAAAAATACACATAAACAACATATAAAATATTTTTGGTAACGATAGTTTGTTAAATAAAATTGAATTACAATACATTATATTGTAAGATACAAATTTTTAATATAACTAAATATTAATAATAATTGTCAATTCCCAAAATACGAGAAATAATTAGATTCTGCAAAGACATCTTAAAAGTCAATTGGAGTTCCACTAGCAGTTTTACAATATTACATATTAGTTTTATTTCATATATTAAATAAAGGAACGCTATAACTTCATTAGTGGCACTGCGTATGGGGACGTCCAATCCCTCTCGAACACCTCTTGTAGTTCTCGTCTTATATCTTGTGAAACATTCTGGAATGTTCCGTGTGGATCTTCTTGAAGAACGAACGCGACCCCGGCTGTGTCAGTGAAGTAATCACCGGACCAGTTCGAGGTGCCTATATACGCAGTGCGCTCTGTTACCATGTATTTGTTGTGGTTTACTCGAGCGTATGGTATTTTGTCTTGTTCAGGCGACGACGGTACTAAAAACCGTTTCTGAAATTATGAAATCAGGTCTCTTAATATTTTTTTTAAGAAAATACAAGTTTCTTATATTATCGGAATTAACAAACAAGTAATAGCCCATTAATTGTACTTTTAAGGAAATCCTCTTAGGAACCTATACAAACAAGACACAAGTACATGATATTAGATGTCGACATTCGACATTTAAATGAGACATCAGAGCATATATGTATGTGATATAAACATAATACAAATAATATTGTCTATTCAGTTAGACCTGACATGCAATAAGGTCACTGCACATACACCATTTCAGACACCATAGTGCTCTAGAAAGTGTATCCACTGAATGGTGTAAAACAGTGAAATTATAGGGTGTAGCATAATGTCTTAGTTTTACGGAATGGTAATGCAAGAGAGCATTGTATTTCTCTTGCTATAATTACATGAAACATGACATGATGTCCATAGTGTTGTTCACGTACACTCAGGCCATTGCAGTAACATGAAAAATTATGTACCTACCAACAGAAACAAACAATTAGCTTACATTCCTATGCCCCTAATGTAATGATAATTATATCAACTTACCACTTGTATATCGACCCTGGGATACGACTTGGAGAGCGCAGTGAGCGAGCGCAGGAAATAGTCTTCCGACGGACGCGAATGCTTCCACCAACTGATTAGCATCTTCACTTTAACTTTATGCTCCAGAGCCGCTTTGCGAATCGCGTCGTCGATCTTTGGCCAGAATCTGTAAATTCATATTCAATCATTAGTAAGCACCTGGACGAGCGAGCTTCGTGGCTTAGTTAAGTGTATGTTTTCTGTTTTGTAAAAAGGTGTTTTCTTGGAAAAGTACTTAATAAAACTGAACTTTTTTTTAAATATCGGCTTCCACCTTAGATGACTGTTATTCTTTGCCAATGACAATAATATAAGAGACATCTTAAAATCAGCACCAGCTAAGTATTGTTAGCTGTCTTGTCGCGTTAAAAAAGAGAAGAGTAAGTAAAAAGAGAGTCAACAGAAAACAATTAATTCGAAAAAATTTACAGAAATGGAAAAAGTATAAAACGGTGTAATATCACACACATATGTATGATGTCAGCGTTCAAAAGACATGTCCTTAGAAAAAAAAATACTTACTTCAGTTTAGGTGTAAACTCGAGTGCAGGCGCGTAATCCATCACAGATATATACACAAACTCCTCGGCCGACTCGATGATGGAGACAATTGCATTGTCATCATTAGTCCGACCAGTCGGACTGAACTGTGGCGGAGAACTCTGTAAACAAGAGACATTTATATAAATAAATAATTTTAAAAACTTTAAGAATAGTCCATAATGTACTTAAATAAAGTATTAAAACACCAGAAAATGCCAACAAACTGCAAAAACACATGTCGTAGAGAAATAAAACGTGGAACTATCTACAGTTTCGTTGCCTTATAGTAATCTTTTACAAGGGCTACTATTCTTGTAAATGTATAAAAAGATTTGGTATGCCGAAGGCAGACAACGACCGAGGTGCTCTAAATCGATAACACGCGCCTTACAATTAGTCACCACAGCTGACCGTGACATTGACATAGAAAAACAAATAACTATTAAGGACAACGATTGTCTACGCGTTGCTGTTGATGATGCTGGCGGGGCTCGAGGGACGGGGGCATCAAGGTCGTTGCAGTAGTCGGTCGGAGGTAGACTACCAGAGAGAGACTATACCAAGCAGTCTTTGTGGGTACCTTTGTCTCATTTACCAGGCAGCAGCTTGCTTTTCAAACTCTATTCTAGATTTTTTATACTACGACATTGACAAGCATACGGCCCATCTGATGACAAACGGTTACCGTATTCTATGAATTTCTGAACTACCTGTAACGTGAGCGTTGCCTACCGTTAAGTTAAGAAACCTTAATATTCCCTTCTTGAAAAACTACATGCTGTAGTCATTCGACAAAACCTCTGCAGGTAGCTCATTACACGAAACGGGAGGAGGCTCCTCTGAAACCTATCTGAAATCACTTAGGTTCCAGCGTGTAAGGATAAATTCCCTGTCGATAGAGCAATGGTAAAAGGTAGACGTGGGCAGATTCAATTGATAAGGCAGTGAAATTACAAGGTACGGATGCATGATACCTTAGTTCTCGGGAACGGCAAAACATTAGGAGTACTTTGGCGTAATTATTATATTATATTTATGGAGCGGAGTTCCTAACCATAGACTACTAGCCCAGAGGTCATGTGAGACGTCGTATTTACCATTCCAGTTACTTATACAATATTATATATATTGCTTACTTACTGCTTTACCTTTTTAGTAATTAAGAACAACGAAAAGCTGAAGGTTTCTTCAAGATTTCATGTTTCAGTTATTTGTGCTGTTTACCTTACCGATTTCAATGTTCTTTTTATAATTGAATGGGCTCATTTTTATATGTATTCCATTGTCATTTAGTATGTCTGCTTTAGTTGAACAAAATCTTTAATTATTTGTATTCATGTTTATGTCTATAGCTTTTCTAAGGATTTCATCATATAATCATAATCAGAGTACTGTTATCTGTATAACGACCCATATTCTGCGATATCGCTAAAAAATGTACGACATGACATAAAATACACCCTCGCAATAACCATAAAAGGCTAATAGGTTAGGTGGCAAAGGTCAAATGTGAACTATGTTACAGTCTAACTTAGCAGTACGCATGCAAATCCTACTAACATTAGATATGTACTGCTGTTTGAACTTTGTAAGGGTTCTTTGCTCTTTACTACTTTTTTAAATTACTCTAAAACAGATAAAATAATTTAATTATTTTAAATGGACTTCTTGGCATGTTATTCGATTTTTTTGTAGATCCAACCTAAAATCAAAATTATTTTAATGACATATGCCTATTACTAGATTTTGTAAATTCTTTGATCAACTGTACTTAGGGTACCTGTGATCAGGTAATATATGAATAATCCAAATTCAGTTCATCCTCCACGCGGTTCCCCCTGGAAACCATGGTGCTAAATTTCTCGTAAATTCGTTATAATGAGCTAAATAACTTAATTTTATCGTCAATATTATGTATACACTCAGTCCCTGAAATTCCACTGCTAACGACCGTGATAAGTTCTAGAATTGCCAATAGGTGGGCTAAGTGACGTAATATCAATATCACCCTTCACTGGTTTACTTCCAGCATACCTATATCATTACCAAAGGCGAAATTGGCAATTTAATGATTATTACGTATGACTTAACAATTTCAGATACACACTGTATAATCACGATTAGTAACGGAATAAAAAAATCCTAATTTTAAGTGCTTTTTTATTCTACAGCGCATACAAATTCAGCCAGGAAGAATGAACAAGAAGCTTGCCTGCTGCACTTTTTAGTAATGTCTAATTTTTATGTCAAAATTTGTGTAAATACTAACTATAAAATAGCACGAACTCATAAGAATCAATATATTAAATTTTGAATCTTTTTAGAGGTTGTGTTATAGATACTAGACAACCGACATAAATACAGATATATTTTTTTAAATACCATAGAAAACACATAGACCAATACTCATGAATACAAATATTTGTACTGTGCAAGGAATCAAACCCGAGACCATCCCAAGTAAGGAGGTGTACAATTAATTAGGTCATTCCGCTTTCGAATCGCGAATACGCTCACCTGTCACTACATACATGAACAGCAATACGAACATCACGTTACAAGTTACACCCGCAATACTACTATTGCATTGCCATTCCAAAGTACTATCATACCTCTTCATTACATAGTATAAAACAAAGTCGCTGTCTCTGTCTGTCCGTCCCTATGTATGCTTACATCTTTAAAACTAAGCAACGGATTTTGAAACAGTTTTTTAATAGATAGAATGATTCAAAAGGAAGGTTTATATGTATAATACATGTACACCCAGGCGAAGCCGGGACGAGTAGCTAGTATCCTATAGTTTCACTGTCTCATCTCATCCTTCCAACGAAACAGCTTACAAAGCAAGCTGCTTGTCACTGAAATACGTAAACAGAGCTACCCCCTGACAACACTTTACAAAACTCTACCGCGGGTAAGCGGCGGAAATTACCTTAGGAACTCATAACAGTTAATAGAATAATGTCATTTGCATGGAAATACTCATATATCACACGCCGTTACCAAAAAAATATACTAATTACGACCACGTACGCCATTACTACGCCATTAATGACTTCACAATAAACGTTTAACGTGTATTTGTTCTAATTTCACGCCGCCATTCGTCGAATAAGCTTATAGTTTTATACCATCGTTATTTTCGCCCTCAAGCAGTTATTATGGGGTCGATTTATTTCAATATCCATATATCACTAGACCTAGTACATTACATGTGTCACTTTAAAGAGAAGTGTGTCCATGCAATAAAATTAGGTTGTACGTATTCTTCACTATGATTCTATCTCTATCCGGAGACCTTTTAATTGAAAATATTTTTATAATAAACCCATTTTTTAATTTTATATTGGATTATTCTAATTCTTCCTTTACTGAGTAGTGATTTGAATACCACAGACTAAATACTAGATAATTTAGACTAAGTTTGAATGTACTATATAAATAAAATACACACGCGAACTTATGGCGGTAATAAAGAAGGTGATATCGTCGCAGCAGTTGCCCTCCTTCCATCACAATACAACACTTATCGTGTATTTGTCGAACTCCACCCCTAATTGTTAGTCGAGTCTACAATTTCGTCTAGAGGACTAAAAACGCCATCTTACACGAATCTTAATATGATTTGGAATAACATATCTATAGTATTCAACATTTGGCTGAAAGTCGTAGTAAAGTATTAAATATTCAATTATTTAAACAACTATAAAATAAACATTAATACAACTTAAAATAATATAAAATATACCTTATAATGTTAATTTCACAATTATTCTCTCCCAATAAATTTTTACTGTGTGTAATTCACTAATGAAGTACTAAATAAAGAATATTAAATAAGTAAAATTAGATATACCTATATATATACTTAAAAAAGTACCTATAGAACATACAACTGTTATAATACTAGCAGTAAATGTTCTTAATTATTTGCAAGTGCCAACAGCAGAAAGAATATGATTAAAACCAATAAAAATGCTGCTTCATTGGTTACAATTATATTTTTTACAATTATCATACCCTTACCATAAAAGGTCTATCAAACTAAACGGGATAAAGCAAATCCTATTAGGAATCATACAAGGTGGTGCTTTTAGACTGCCTGTTTAGCCTCGAACGTAAGTTTGACCTTGGTACATTTTGTGTTGGTAATAAAGGATGTTTACTATCCGTGTATACAAAAGCGTACCAAGACACCAACTAAACGATAGTAAGAAACTAAGAGCGAAACAACAAAACATACACTTTCCTAAAGAAACATCAGAATAATTAATAACTGCCAACCAATTTGAAACAGGGGTACGAGGTATAAATACTACTGTTTTTTGGCGTGATGGTCATTTTTTATGGAATGGTAAACAAGGTGACGACCACCTGACGGTAATCGGTAACCGCCTACACATATGAACAACACTACGAACATCACTCAAGTGTTGCTATTCCAGAGGATGAAAATGCTGACTAAGAAATCCTGCATTTTACCTAAACTTTACTTAAATATGTATTATATCTATATAATCTGGTAATTTTACTGTCGTATCTTCAAGAAGGAACTCAAACAAATTAGGGGGAAAGGGGATTGTTAGTAATGTAACAAGTAACCTATTGTTAACCATCTCAGGTCGACCTCCGACAATTCCTGATGAATTGGACACGATGGCAGTTCAGGCCATCCTAATGGATGGCCTAACTGACCTGACTGAAGGTGGTTATTAGTAATGTACCATTTCAGGTAGATCTCCACGCGGTTCCCCCTGGAAACAATCCTGGTTAATTTCAGATGAATTTTCCACGATGAGTTAACTGACCTGACCTTTTATTCATTTTATCATCCTCCACTGATGCCCCGCCAGCGTAAATCGTTAGCGCAGGCGGGTACACAATTTCATTATCATGCACTAAGAATACAAATAAATTAGTACATGCAATTTTTAAATGGCCAGTTTTAGATCTGCCGTCCACATCAAAGCAGAAGTATAATACGAAACAGTCCTCTGGTGCACTAGTGAATCTAATATTTGTATTCTATTATATTGTAGTGGTAACATAACTTTCTCATATTGAAGCAGAACGATACAATAGCAGGGCAAAATTCAATATTCAGCGAGCGTCATAT